ACACTGTCATTTTGGCAAAAGAATTGACAAGTAGATCAGTGGAACAGAAAAGAGAACCCACATAATTATATATACCCAACTGATCTTTGACAAACGAGCAAAGATGGTCTTTCCAACAAATGGTGCTGGACATCCACATGGAAAAAAATGAATCTAGACCCAGATTTTTACACCCTTCATAAAATCACCCCAAAATGAATCACAGATCAAAATGTAAAATGCAAAACTATAAAATCCCTAGAAGATAACACGGGAGACACAGGAGAACCTAGATGACCTTGAGTAAGGCAATGACTTTTTAGATACAACACGAAAGGCATGATCCATGAAAGAAATGATTGATAAACAGGACTTCATTAAAATGAAAAACTTCTGCTCTGCCAAGACCCAGTCAAAATAATAAGAGGACAAACCTCAGACTGGGAGAAAATACTTGCAAAAACATATATCTGATTAAAAACTGTTATTCAAAATATACAAAGGACTCTTCAAAATAATGAGAAAACGAGTAACCCAGTCTAAAAATGAGTAACAGACCTGAATAGACAATACACCGAGAAGATATGGAGATGGAAATATGCACACGAAAAGGTGCTCCACATTTCCTCAGGGAAATGCAAATTAAAACAATGAGATACCATTACACACCTGTTAGAACGGCCAAGATCCAGAACACTGACAAACCAGATGCTGGTAAGGATCTCATGTGGAATCATGAGAATTCTGTTCATCGCTGGTAGGAATGCAAAATACTACAGTCGTTTTGGGAGACAGCTTGGCAGCTGATTACAAAACTCAACAGCTAAACGTACTCTTACCACATGAGCCAGCAACAGCATTCCTTGATATTTACCCCAAAGAGCTGAAAACGTATGTCCTCACAATGATGCTTCCTGCTTCCAGACTTCCTGCTTCCACTGTTGCTGTCAAAAACTCAGCTGTCAGATAACTGGGTTTCTTTGATAGGTAATTAGTATTTTCTTTCTACATCCTTTTAAGATCTCTTTATCTTTGATGTTCTGCACTTTGACTACAAGGTATCTAGTTGTGAATTTTTGTTTGTTTAGCCTTCTTGGAATCTGTTATGTTTCCCAAATCTGGAGACTTGTGTTTTGCACCAATTTGGGAAAATTCTCATCAGCGTCTTTAGATATTGTTTCTCTCTCATTCTCACTAATCTTTCTATCTGGAATCCCAATTAGATTATATGACAAATCATTCTTATTCTCTTCTCTGTGTCCCTTGACCTCCCTTACATACTTTCCATCTCCTTTTTTTCAGACTGGCTTTCTGGGTAATATTTTTAGATTTACCTTTTAGGTAGATCAACTTCATCTGTTTAATCTGTCCATGGAGTTTTGTGTGTGGTTATGTAACATTATTGAACTATTATCCATTGATTTTTAAATTTCATTGATTCCATTTTAACTTCTGGAAGGACTTTCCAAGTAGTGGTTCTTTTTAAAATTCTGAATGGTTACAAATTTTTGGAGGAGACTTGTCCTTCTCACCTCGAGCCAAGACCAAGAAAGATATGTTCTCTTGCTATCTCCCTTTGCCAGGAAGCAGATTTGTTTTTTTTCCCTATCACCCTTTTGTGGAGATTGTAGCCCTTCTGAGGGGTCTGGTTTCTGCAGAAGGGTCTCTGTTCGGACTCCCTACCGCATACACATCAAAGGCGTTGTCTCCTGGTCCCAGTTTACCCATTAAAACCTAAGCCTCTAGCTTCTGGTTTCACTAAACACCATGACTAAGGATTTCCATGGCTCCAAAGCTAGTTTACTACTCTGATTTCAATTCCATTTTTCAGCCCTTCACTTTCCTTTAAGCTCTGTTACCCATTTTCTGCTGTCATTTCTAGCTATCCCGTAGTGGAAGTGTTCTTCATAATTGTCATAAAAGGCTTTCATAACTTCCTGTATTGTCAGAATCAGACATTTTTTCCAATGAAGATTGTCAGATAAAACAGAATGCTCAATTAAATCTGAATTTTAGATGATCATATAACATACATTATTTTAGTATAAGAATGCCCATGCTATATTATTCATTATTTATCTGAAGTTCAAGTTTTACTGCATGTCCCATTTTTTTTTTAAAGATTTTATTTATTTATTTGACAGACAGAGATCACAAGTAGGCAGAGAGAGAGAGAGGAGGAAGCAGCCTTCCTGCTGAGCAGAGAGCCCGATGTAGGGCTCGATCCCAGGACCCTGGGATCATGACCTGAGCCGAAGGCAGAGGCTTTAACCCACTGAGCCACCCAGGCGCCCCTGTCCCATGTTTTTATTTGCAAAATCTGGCAACCTTACTTCTGATCTCCTCCCCCCTCTTTGTGCTCCCAGCCACAGGCCTTTCTGTCGCTCAGAATCAGCAAGCTCACTTCCAGTCTCAGAGCCTTTATACTTGCTTTTCCCTTACCTGGAACATTCTTATCCCAGACCTCCACAAAGCTGGCTCCAACCATATCATAGAGAGCTCAGCTCAATGTCACCCTACTCCCTCCACTTGCCCTGTCAATCTTTATCATCATTATAAAGCTTAACACTTTCTGAAATTACATGATCTGTTCACTTGTGTTTTTGTCCTTTCTCTTCTTTGTAGAGTTCAAGGCTCACGAGGGCAAGGGCCTTGTTAGTTGCTGCATCCCCAGCACCTGACACAGAGCCTGGTACTTAGTAGGCACCGAATAAATATTTGTTGCATGAATAATTGGCACCCCAAAACCTGTTCTGCAGGATGTAAAGTTATGAAGATCAGCGGGAGGTAGAACAGCCGGCTATAACCAAAGAGAACAAAAACAAATATGTCAAGAAAAGTCAATATGGATCTTAAACAAATCTGCCTTGAAGAAAGGACTGATCTCGGCGGTGAGTGGCAGACGCTGGGAGATCCCCCAGACCCACCTCCTATCACGGAGCTTGGGCTGTAGTGAGCAGGGACTGAAACAGAGAGTGGGAGTGCCTGGTTTAACTGGGCTCTGATCTTCAGCTGGATTGAGGACCTGCCTTGGACCAATGTTTTTCCTGCAGTTCTGTGGCAGTGAGAAATAATGGGGTAGCTGACCCCTCACTCACTTTTCTACTGATGTAGAAGTCAGGCAGGGCACACTTGGATCCCAATTGGATCCCCATAAACCCTGGGATTTAGAGGCAATTCAAGACAAAGGGAAAACTTCAGGAAAGGGGCTAATTTAATACAAACTAGTGAAATTTTAAAAGAACCAGGCTGGTAAATCACATCTTCAGTTTCAAAATCTTGGAGGCTGGGGCGCCTGGGTGGCTCAGTCAGTTAAGCGTCTGCCTTTGGCTCAGGTCATGATCCCTGGATCCTGGGATAGAGCCCCACATCAGGCTCCCTGCTTAGTGGGGAGTCTGCTTCTGCCTCTGCCCCTCCTCCTCTGCTCCTGCTCTCTCTCTGGCTCTCTCTCTCTCTCAAATAAAAATCCTTAAAATAAATAAATCAATAAATCTTGAAGGTTAATATGTGGCATGCTGGAGATCTGGAAGAGTATATTGGGAGGAATAAACTACAGATGGTCCCTGACTGATGACAGTGTGACTTGGAATTTTTTGATTTTACAGTGATGTGGAAAGCAATACATATTCAGTAGAAACTGTACTTCAGATTTTGAATTTTGATCATTTGCCAGGCTAGTGGTGCTGGTCACTGGCGGCGAGCTGCAGCTCCCAGTCAGTCACTTAATCACAGTGAGGGTAAACGACCCATACACTTACACATACACAAACGCTCTGTACCCAGACAGCCATTGGTTGTCACTTTCAGTGCAGTATTCAATAAATTACAGGAGTGAATAACGAACATTTACTACAAAATAGGCTTCCTGTTAGAAGGCCAAATATATGATTTGGCTCAGCTGCAGGCCAATGTCCGTGTTCTGAGTACGTTTAAGGTAAGCTATGTTGTTCAGTCGGTTAGGTGTATTAAATGACTTACAATATTTTTAACTTAATGATATTTTCAAATTATGATGGGTCTATCACCGCACACCCTCATTGTAAATGGAGGAAGATCTGTGTAAGCAATTAGGTACTGGTGAATCATAAACTGAGAGAATGAAAATGCTGAAATAGTTGGAGAGAGAAGTAGGAGGGGGCTGGTAGGCCATATCAAGAAGCTTGGCCTTCATTAGGAGGGTACATGGGAGTCACGCTGGATTTTAATCAGGAGAGTGACTCCAGTCTCTGGATGTGATCTGTACTTGGAGAGATCGCCCTAATCCTGTGCATTGGAGAGAACAGGACTGCAACGAAGACTGGTCAGAAAGACAATGAAAGCCTGAAAAACCATGACGCTAATTCTAATCCTGGTAGATATGAACTCAACCAAACACTAAATCCATTACCTACCTAATACTGTTTACCCCACAGCTACGCAACCCAGCTGACACTGGTGTTAACATCTCCATTTTACAGGTACAGTAACCAGGTGGAGAGGATGAGGGCTCTGCCCAAAATTACTCAGTACCCAGTTCCGTCTGACTAGATCGCCTCTCTTTTCTCCCTTGGACTAGGCATAGGAAGTGGGAAGGAAAAGGAGCAGACAGACGCGCAAAATAATTAGGAGGCAAATAATAATAATTATTATATTAGTATTAGATGAAGACAGTGGTGATGACGGTAATGAATGCAAAGGCGATTTCATTCATTCGTCACACACACACTCGAGACCTCAACGTGAGCTTCCGCGTCTGGGAAAAGACAAAGCTGATCAAGGTGCCGATGAGAGACATTCTGTCTAACACGACAGAAAACTTACACCGTCGCAGTGACAACGCCACGCCCCATCCGCCGCCCGGTTCTCCGCAGTAGCCAGAGCGGCCCCGCCCCGGAGCCTCCGCGGCCACGTGGTCCGGCGTCCGCGCGCAGGCTCCCGGCGCCGGCGCTTCCGGGTTGGCGGCGGCGTCGCGGGGGCCCCAGTCCGGGGGGCGCAGGAACCCCGGCGGCCGGTTCTGCGGAGCGGGGCGCCAGGGCGGCCCCGGCGGGAGTGCGCCCGCCAGGCTGCAGGGTGGGCCGGGAGCCCCAAGAGGTAGGTCTGTCCCGGACCCGCCAACCGTGGGCGCGGGATCGCGGCCGTGTCGGGCGCTCCCCAGCCCTGCGCTCCCCTGTCCCGCCCGAGGGGGCCCGGGCTGTGGTGGGGGCGCAGCCCCGCGGGCCCGGGGCTCGGGAGAATCGCCTCCCTCGGCCTCGGGCGCTGCTTGGCGGCCAGTCTGGGCGATCGTGCCACCCCCTTCCCGAGGGAGGCCCGATGCGCCTTCGGTTATTACTCAATTGCAGCTATCTCCAGATTTGTGTACATTTTCTTTGCCTCTCTTCTATGTTTTCACAGGCAAAATGGTTAAAAATGCGTGAAATCGAGATATTGCAGTTCCTATTCTAATCTGTGCAACTGTGGAAAGTTAGTGCTGGGAAAGGACTTTCAAGATGGTTGATTCCCATTCCTTAATTTTACAGAGGAGAAAACAGACCCTCGAGAAGTAGCGTGGATGTTGGAAATTCACCTAGCTAGGTAACGGTATGACAGGGATGAGAGTCACGGTCTAAGTTTTTAAGTCCACTTCTGAAAGTGGTAAATGGTCAAATTCATTTAACCGTGTAAAGTGAATAGTAGGTTCGCTTGGGCCAGGTTTAATCTGTGTAGATGATGATTCCTCCTTTTTAATCATTATTTTCTTATTTCAGGCTTCACGCTTCTTGGCCTCTAAAGAAAATGGCAGAAACGTCATCAGAGCCTTCTGGGCAGCTCGTTGTACACTCAGACACTCACAGCGACACTGTTCTGGCCAGTTTTGAGGATCAGCGGAAGAAAGGCTTTCTCTGTGACATCACGTTAATCGTGGAGAATGTGCATTTCCGGGCTCACAAAGCCTTACTCGCTGCCAGTAGTGAATACTTCTCAATGATGTTTGCTGAAGAGGGGGAGATCGGCCAGTCCATTTACATGCTGGAAGGCATGGTTGCTGACACATTTGGTATCCTGCTGGAGTTCATCTACACGGGTTGTCTCCAGGCCAGCGAGAAAATCACAGAACAAATTCTGGCCACTGCTCAGTTCTTAAAGGTCTATGACCTGGTAAAGGCTTACACAGATTTTCAGAATAATCACAGCTCCCCAAAGCCAACACCTCTGAACACCGTTGGCGCTCCGGTGGTGGTGATTTCTAATAAGAAAAATGGTCCTCCGAAACGGAAGCGGGGGAGACCGAGAAAAGTCAACAGTGGGCAGGAGGGGAAATCACAACTGGCTGCGGAGGAAGAAATACAGCTGAGAGTAAACAATTCAGTTCAAAATAGACACAACTTTGTGGTGAAAGAGGCAGACGGTGGCACACTGAATGAACAGATTCCAGCGAAAGATATGGAAGAGCCCGAGCCTGCCTGTGAGCCGGGCAGAGGGGAGGAAATGCCTGCTGAGAAAGACGAGAACTGTGATCCCAAGACCCAGGATGGGCAGGACAGCAAGAGTCGGTACAGCAAGCGGAGGATTCAGAGGTCCGTCAAGCTTAAAGATTACAAACTTGGCGGGGATGAAGACGAGCAGAGTTCAGCCAAAAGGGTCTGTGGAAGGAGAAGGCGCCCGGGGGGCCCTGAGGCCTGTTGTAAGGACTGTGGCAAAGTGTTTAAATACAATCACTTTTTGGCAGTCCACCAGAGGAGCCACACGGGTAATTGTCCTTTCGCAGCTTAGTGGAGCGCGTTTTGGAGGGATGATGGTGATAGCATTCGTTGATTGTGCAACTTCCGGGTGATGGGCCTTATAATAAGATCTTTATGTATATGGTACTGCAGCTAGTTCTCACAACAGGCCTGTGAAATAGGGAATGTTATCCCCATTGGACAGACGAAGAGACCCAAGTCCCAGAAATAATTTGCCCAGGTCAGCTATTTAGTGACAGAGCTGGGATTTGAGCCCAGGTAGCCTGATGGCAGAACCCTGTTTTTACTTGGCGTCATTGGTTCAAGGCTTTAATACCCAGATGTCACACTCTAGCCAGATTTACTTGGCTTTCTGACTTGTAAACATTCTTCATCTTGACTGCTATACCTATGCTTTTGCCCAGGTCTGTGGGGACAGCTTTCTCATTCAGCCATCTAGCTGTAAATGTCTTCTCTTCGGTCCTTCTGGCCCAGCACTGGCCAGTAGACCCATTTGTGAGGACGGAAATGTTCTGTCTGCGCCATCCAATATGGTGGTCACTAGCCATGTGTGATTTTGAGCACTTGACGTGTGGTGAACGTGACTGAGGAACTGAGTTTTTTATTTTAATTAACTGGCACCATGTTGGACAGTGCAGCCCTAGGCAGAAATCCCTTTCTCTTTTTTTTTTTAAAGATTTTATTTATTTATTTGACAGAGAGATCACAAGCAGGCAGAGAGGCAGGCAGAGAGAGAGGAGGAAGCAGGCTCCCCTAGAGAGCAGAGAGCCCGATGCGGGGCTCGATCCCAGGACTCTGAGATCATGACCTGAGCCGAAGGCAGCGGCTTAACCCACTGAGCCACCCAGGCACCCCTCCCTTTCTCTTTTTGAGCTCTCCCTTACTTAGCTCACTCTGCTTTGGGTCAGGTTGTAGTTAACCAGCTAAATACCCCTCAACCTAATTGTAAACTTCAGTCTAGGGACTAGAGCTAGTTAAGTCTCCTCTCATCCAACAGAGCTAGCCGTGTGGTTCTCAACCTGACCACACAGTAGAATCACCTAGGGAGTGTCTAAAACTGACCGTGACTGAGCGCCAGCCCCCAGAGCTCCTGGTTTGATTGGGGCCTTGGTGTTTTTGAAAAATGGGTTGAGAACCCTGAATTCTGGCTCTTTAAACAAAGTAGACACTTGGGAAATATTTATTGAACTGTAATAGAGGATAGTGTAGAGAGTTGAATAGTTCTATAATATCTGTTAAGGGAAACAGCACTTGGATCTTCCCTCTTGTCCCCAGTCTTCTGACATTTTGCAGTGACTCACTCTTGCCTGGGTCTGTGTTCGACCCATTTCAGTGGCTACCAGTAGATCCATACAGTTTGGAAACTTCCATCTTTCAGTTCCAGAAAAATCTTCTGGGACGATTTCATGGATAATATCTCCCGTCAGTTTTCTGTGCTCTCTCTTTCTAGAATTCCCTGGAATTTGGATGTTGAACCTCTGGACCCACCCTCTAAAGTACTTACCACTTACTTCCCATCACTTTCAGCTCCACATTCTGGGGAATTTCCCCTTTATCTTTCAACTCTTAAGAGTTTTGTTTCTACCCTGTTTTACTTCTAGGAGCCTTTTTTTATTCTCTATAAATTCTTTTTTTTTTTTTTTTTTTTTTGGTTCCCAGTGTAGTATCTTCCCTCTGTGAGCACGTTAATGACAGCAGTCGCTTGTTGGTCATTCCCTAATGTTTTCTTTCCCTTGGGCAGCCTCTGTTTTCCGCAAGTTGCCCTTTTTTCTTAGGTGATTTGGTATCTGTTTCAGCTACTAGAAGGCCTTCCTTGAATGGTGATGTTTTGAAAAATCACATTTAATCCTATGTTGGAATTGTTGACTGCAAGCTGCTGGCCACCACGTGGGTGTGGAGCGGGCCTGTGGTTGGCGACGTCACTGGGGGTAGCGTGGCTGGACCCCACCCCATCCCCCACACCTGGCATCACAGCTGCAGCCCTCTTACCCTGGCCCACCACGTTCCCGAAGATGTTCTGCCCTCCCACCTGAGGCTCTGGGCCTGGCTGCCAGTGTCTAGAGCAGGAACAGGGGAGGCTGGGCAGAGTCTCATCACCCCAAATGTAAACTTGGACTTGCTGTCCCTGGGGCTGTCCCACTCCACTGTACCTGGAGACCCTCAGTCCAGAGGCTTTTATCCTCTTCAGAGAACAGCCCATATCCTTTATTGGGGAGCGGGCTGGCATTCTGGGTCCTTGGGCCTTGTAGGGGGGTCTCAGTGCCTTTGGCACAGACTGTCATATGTCCCCCTCCTTAACCCCTTTCTCAGAGATGACAAGTGCCACCAATTCCTGGGCATTGTGGAGGCTCTTTCTTGGGTTGTATCTCAGCGCTCCTCACCGCTGGCCTCAGACTCATCTGTTCCGGCTTGCCAGACTTTATTGCTGAGGTTTTCTCTCCCGTTCTGGGCCTTTGGGAGATGTGCCAGTGAAGAGAAATCCCTCTATTGTTTTAATTTAGGAGGAAACCAAGATGTGCATGTTCTTGCTCACACCGCGCTTCTGGGGCTCTCATTCCAGGGGAGCGACCTTTCAAGTGTAATGAGTGCGGAAAAGGCTTTGCCCAGAAGCACTCCCTGCAGGTCCACACCCGGATGCACACAGGCGAGCGGCCCTACACCTGCACCGTGTGCAGCAAGGCTCTCACCACCAAGCACTCGCTGCTGGAGCACATGAGCCTGCATTCAGGTAGCTGGGCTCGCACCGGAGGGCCACCTGCCGCTGGGGTCCTGGGCTGGGCGTTTCCGTGGTCACGGTGGTCTTTCCTCCACCTGGCGACATCTCCCATGTGGTGTCTGCCTCTGTCAGGCCATAGTTTAGAGTTGTGCGCAGTGTTCTGGCTTAACCTAGAGCTTATAAAACGGCTGCTGGGAGCTCAACGTACACATTTTGATTAACTCCCAGAGCTTAGAAATTTTTTACTTAGGTGACTTTGGGGGAAACTTGAATTCTCCAATTCTGCCCCAGTCCCCACCACTCCCTACTGCCTCACATACCTTTGCGCATTTATGGTACTGTGCTCTGACTCTGAGGGCATTTGGGTACGTAGGCAAGTCACTTGTATCATTCATGGAAAATGGGGACCTGGGCCCACTGTGTTATTGTTCTTTATAGTTTTTGCGGGTTTTAGTGTCTTGTTTTTTCTTTGGCAGGACAGAAGTCTTTCACCTGTGATCAGTGTGGAAAATATTTCAGCCAGAAAAGGCAACTAAAGAGCCATTACCGAGTTCATACAGGTACAATAAAGGGAGGGAAAAATTTGGTGGGGGAGAAACATAAATACAAATTACTTCTGAAATAGTAGAGTCCTACTGTGGAAAATAATTAGTATTTAGGGAAAGAATCTTAAAAAGCAATGTGAATTAGAGGTCCTTGTGTAATTGTCTATTACCTTGTAATATATATTTAATTTTATACTACAGCTTGGTGCCATACACAGAAACCCTACAGGATTGATACCTTTCAAAAGTGCCAGTTGAGGGGCACCTGGGGGCACAGTGGGTTAAGCCTCTGCCTTCAGCTCAGGTCGTGATCTCAGGGTCCTGGGATGGAGCCCTGCATCGGGCTCTCTGCTCAGCAGGAAGTCTGCTTCTCCCCCCCGCCCCGACCCGCCTGCCTCTCTGCCTACTTGTGATCTCTCTCTCTCTCTCTCTGTCAAATAAATAAAATAAAATAAAATAAACTTTAAAAAAAAAGTGCCAGTTGACTAAGAGGGCACCAGTTGATGGGTTACTGATGGTGGTTGGACAGAAATATCCCCACCTCATAGCTGTCAGTGCAGGCTCTCCCCCACCTAGCTTCTTCTCCCCTGCCAACTGATAAGAAATAAATGAGGGGTTGGGGGTGACACTGGAGTCAGTTGGCCACAGTCACACCCATGCTTCAGGGGGAAAAGAAAATTACTTTTAGCGAGATTGGAAGGGGCCCAGCTCTCCTGGGGAAGCAGTGAGTTGCAGTGCATAGGAAAATATTACCTGTCCCCAAATTAATAAAAAAAATTGTTGTTTTAATTAAGGTGCCATATTTAAAGTGATTATTTTTCAGGGCAGTGCTTTAACACAAATCACTGAAGAAATGCAGGGAGAGAGCGCATACATGCACTGACACTTTTTTTATTGTTGCGACAAGGCCACTCATTACCGGAATGCAACCACTGCCATCGCAAGTTCATGGACGTGTCTCAGCTAAAGAAACATCTACGAACACACACAGGTAATAAAACTCCCATCTCGGCCTTCCTTTCTGGTATATGTCACGATTGCAGAAGGATGAGAAGGAGTCCCCTCCTCAGGCTCCATTTATCACAAATTGGGTGGGAATTTTAGATGACCATTTAAAAGCCCAAGGCAGAAGGCTGTCAAGACCATTCTGTGGGGAGATCCCGACGCTATTTCTTAGCAACGCAGAGATGGCTTACTGAGCACTATTCCTGTATGAAAATTCATTTGAGGGGCGCCAGGGTGGCTCAGTCGGTTGAGTGTCTGACTCCTAATCTCAGTTCAGGTCTTTTTTTTATTTGTTTTTTTTTTTTTTAAAGATTTTATTTATTTGTCAGAGAGAGAGGGAGAGAGAGCGAGCACAGGCAGACAGAATGGCAGGCAGAGGCAGAGGGAGAAGCAGGCTCCCCGCCAAGCAAGGAGCCCTATGTGGGACTCGATCCCAGGACGCTGGGACCATGACCTGAGCCGAAGGCAGCTGCTTAACCAACTGAGCCACCCAGGCATCCCTCTCAGTTCAGGTCTTGATCTCGGGGTTGTGAGTTCAAGTCCCGCTTTGGGCCCCACGCTAGCTGTGGCGCACACTTAAAAAAAAAAAAAAAGAAAATCCGTTTAATACCACAAATTAGTACAAGTCTGAGTCTGGTTCTGTTCTCTGGTTCTGTTCTCTGGTTCTCAGTGAAGTACACTGAGAGTGTACTTCAGCACTGAAGATTACTGAGATAATTTTTTTAAGAAAAGAAAGTAAAACAAAACAAACACAAAGGTAGCATAGGCACCAAGGGTTTTCCCACTTGTTCCCCAAAACCCATACTTAAAACTTAAGCATCGCCACCTCTAGAAAAATCAGCTTCAGGGATAAAGAGGAGGCAAGTCAAATTCTTTCATTTAAGAACAGCAAAGAGGGGTGCCTGGGTGGCTCAGTAGTTAAGTGTCTGGCTTTAGCTTAGGCCCTGATTCCAGGATTCTGGAATCGAGCCCCATGTTGGGCTCCCTGCTCAGCAGGAATCTGCTTCTTCCTCTCCCCCTGCTTGTGTTCCTTTTCTTGCTGTGTGTGTCTCTCTCTCTGTCAAATAAATAAATAAAATCTTAAAAAAAAAGAGAGAAACAGGAAAGGAAAAGTGCAGGTTTTTTAGACCTTTTGGTAAGGAGCACGTCTTACAAATGAACCTGTTAGATTTTCTAAGAAAAGCTTCCTCTTACAGTTTGGTTCTTTAATGATTCACTTAAATTGTTTTCCTAAAATTATATATCAGATTAACTTATACTGCTTCGGACATTTTTTTATAAACACAAGTTCTTCTCCTTAAATGTAATTTGTTTTCTTAAAATAAGTGGCTCATAGGATAGGAGTTCTATGAAAAGGGATCCCTCTACAATCTTTCTGCAGACGTTATCATTAATAGGTTCTGTGACATTTAATTCACCCACAGAACAGCTCCTGGGTCCCAGGCACCGCTGTGTCTGGGTGCTGAGGCTGCAGCGGTGGTGAGGTGGCGGGAGCCCCCGCTGCAGGCCAGGGAAGACAAAGGACAATGACTACTTAGCATGTTAAGGGGGCCTGGGGTCATGGAGAACTAAACGCACGGGAAGGGGGTTAGGATGTGGGAAGCGGCACTGCCCTTCTTCATGGGGATGTGTCTGAGAAGGCCTCACTAATGAGGGGACACCTTGGATAGAGATCTGAATGCTCTGGGGAGGGAGACAGCCATTGCGGCTGCACAGGGGAAAAGCATCCCACGCAGAGGGAACAGCAGGTGCAAAGCCTGGAGACACAAGAGTTTCCAGCTTATCCGAGAACTGCCAGAAGGCAGTCGTGCCTGAGCCTGAGCCAGGCCGGTGGGCGTCAGAAGGCTTTGGGTAGGGGCACAGCCGTGGCAACTGGAGTCTGTATAATGGGGCTTCTTGGTCGAGAGTCTGAGGCTCAGACCTCAATCCCCTGAGAAACTTTAAAAAAAGAAAGCCTGGTCCCAACCCCAGAGATTCTGAGTGAATTAACCTTGGGTAGGGCCTTGGAACTGCTAGGTGTAAAAATGTCCTTGGTGATTCTGGTGTGCCCTCAGGCTTCCAAACACTGGAGGCCACAGTGAAGACTGGATTTTGTTCCCAGCGAGGTGATACGACTTAGAATTTGTATAGGATCATCCCAGCTTCCGTGTGGGGTGGGGCGAGCCAGGGGGCCGAGAGACCTGTTCGAAGGCTGTTGCAGTAATCTGGGGCTTGCACAGTGCTGTGGCCTTGGAAGTGGTCCCGAGTGGCCCGGTCCAGGTAGATCCTGAGGGCCTGTATGCTCCTGGAAAGAATTTCCATGATTTTAAACACTTGCAGACAGAAAGACTTCTGAGATGTTGTCAACCCAGATGGCACCGAATGGTAGGGTGAACACCGTTCGTATGTTTCCGAAACGGACCTTGACACGACGAGCAGGTCCTCAGTCTTTGCATCTGGAGAAGGGAGCACATACCCCGGTGTCAGCGTGGGCCCCAGCTCTGGTTTGGGAAGCCTAGGGAGGAGAATGGCGGTGGCCTGGCTTTCACCTTCCAAGTGGTAAGAGTAGCTGATGCGGAGATGCCGACTTGCCCAAGCTGGCACCGGCGTGCCGTGCCCGGACGGAGCTTGGAGAGCTGTCTCGCATCAGTTTTCCAGCAGAGGCTGTGAAAGGGAAGCCCCGCTTCCAACTGCACCCACCCGCGGCTGTTACCTGGTTAAGTGGGATTTTGTTTGTTCTTTTCTTTAAATGCATAAGTTCCCTTGCCTGCATGAGGACCACTTACTTCGGTTTCCGGAGGACGGGACAGTCTGTCGGGTGTATGCGCGGCATACAGACTAATGCCGAAGAAACGGTTATTGAAGCTTTATGAATTCCTCGTGGAGTCTGGAGCAGCCTTGTTTTGCGTGGGCCTTAGTTTCCACCCTGGGAAATGCATTCATTCATCACGGATTTCTGGGACGGTGTGCCAGGCCTGTTTCTAGGCACAGGGGTAGTGGGAGTGGACGAGCCCACGAAGTCTCCTCCTGAGAACGGGGGAGAGGGATGAGAAAGAAGACGGACAGTCTGCGAAGTGGGGCTAGCACTGTGGGAACACGGACGGGAGAAGGGGACTAAAGACTGTTGGCCCCGGAGGCGGGAGGGGAGGACAGTCTTTCGGTGGTGGTGAGGCCTCCATGCTGGAAAAGTGACATTTGAGCAGAGACTTGAAGTCAATACAGAGGGTGAACCATACTGGGAATCCCCTAGGTGACATGTGCTGGGGGAGCGGTGCTGGGTGCAGGAGCCTCGCATGGGGCTTGCTCGGGGTGGGGTGTCTGGTGACTCTCCATCGGGCCTGGGAGGCTGAGCAGTGAGCAAAGGGAGAGTGGCTGGTGAGGTTAGAAAAGCTTAGGGCAAGGACCAGGGCTGGGCAGACAGATACGTGATGCCTTGTAGGCCTAGGGCTTTGGTTTTTATCTCCGGATGGGAAAGGGGGACCTTGGAGTGTTTGCAGCAGAAGTGTGAAATGATCGGACTGCCTGCAGGGTCACTGTGGTCGCCGCATTTACTGTGGGCAGCAGGGAAGCTGGGACAGAAGTGGGCAGACCCGTTTGGCTGCTGCAGAGAGATGGGGGTGGTAGTGAAGGTGGTGAGAAGTGGTCAGACTCTGGGTACGTTGCAAGGCAGACATAAATGTGAATGATGTGCAAGTCACCCCAGTGTGCTGGTATCCCCGGGAACGTCCGGTATGAGAGTTGTGAGCTATCTCAGGGTGGACTATAAGGGAGTAAATGCAGTGTGTTCTCTCGTGTCCCGTGTATAATCATGTTCCTCCTTGTCTCTGGTTTTAAGGGAAGGAACCCTATCTTACACTTTCTCTGTATCCTTTTAGCACTTAGCACCCAGTACTTAGGTACACAGTAGGTGCCTGGTAAGGGCTTCATTCATTCATGCTTATCAAGCAATCAAGTGGTAGTGCCTTTTTTTTTCCTCTTAATAGTGTGAAAATGGGTGATTATTGCTTTTTGCACTGTGTTGGATGTATATTTCTAAACGCTGTCCCTTTTTTAGGTGAGAAGCCATTTACTTGTGAAATCTGTGGCAAATCTTTCACAGCAAAGAGTTCTCTTCAGACCCACATCAGAATCCATAGGTAAAGTTTTACAGATATTTTTCTTATATGGGAATCCTCAGTGAACCCTGGTGTTCAGTTGGATGGCATATGTTACTTATACAATCTTTTCCCCCAAATTATTACATGGGTAGAACTTTTTGTGTAGTTTACTATATTTTATCTTTTCAATAAAGCAATTTGTCACTTGGGCAGAAATCAGGAAAGCTGGTTCTGGCCAGCAAAAGTTTGCATTACTGATTTCATTTCTTGAATTTTTATTTTGTGCTAGGGGCTGATCCAAAGCTTAAATCTTCAGTTAAAAATAAATATTCAGGGGGTGGGCAGCAGGAGGAAAAAAACAATTAATGTTTTCTGAATAAATGTTTTTGTTCACACAACTTCCAGATTTGATTCAGTAGTTTTTCTAAGACATATAATTAAGGGTTACTCAACTTGGATTTTTTTTTTTTTTTTTTTTTTTTTTGAGAGAGGGAGGGAAGGAGCTGGGGGTAGAGGGAGAGAGAATCGAAAGCAGTCTTCACACTCAGCGAGGAGCCCCAATACAGGGCTCAATCTCACAACCCTGAGATCATGACCTCAGTGGGAATCGAGAGTGGGAAGCTTAACTGACTGAGCCACCCAGGCCCCCTACTCAAGTTTTCAATATTGAAGTCAATGCCATGTACTTAAATTTGGCCACAAGAATCTAAAAGTTGGCCATGAAGGTGAAAACAAAACAAAAAGCAACTTTATGTTTAATATATAAATATTTGCTTTCTTATCTAAAATACGGACTATAGAATCATAAAATGTTATCACATGTAGCCCAGCCCCATCCACCAACCTTTCTCAGCATCCCCGCCTTTTCCCTTTAGGGTTAGAAATGGGAAGCCCTGAAAAGTGGTGACTTGCTCTGACTCCTTGAGTTAGTAGAACGCATGACTTATGACTCCCAGTTGAGTTACTTTTCCTCTACTCTTGACATCATCTCCCTCAGGAAGTAATAAACAGAGCTGTTCTTAAAGTCCAATGTGTATTTTTTGTAGAGGAGAGAAGCCCTACTCCTGTGGCATATGTGGCAAGTCCTTCTCGGACTCCAGTGCCAAGAGGAGACACTGCATTCTGCACACGGGCAAAAAGCCTTTCTCCTGCCCAGAGTGTAACCTGCAGTTCGCGCGCTTGGACAACCTGAAGGCTCACTTGAAAATCCACAGCAAAGAGAAGCCCGCGTCAGATGCCCCCGGCGGTCCTAACACTGAGGAGGTCAGGAATATTCTCCAGCTGCAGCCGTATCAGCTCGCGGCCTCTGGAGAGCAGGAAATCCAGCTTCTTGTCACCAATTCTGTACACAATATCAACTTCATGCCGGGCCCCAGCCAGGGAATCAGCATTGTCGCCGCCGAGGGCTCTCCGAACTTGGCGGCCGAGCAGGCTGCCGACCTGGCCCTGCTCACGCAGCCACCGCAGCCGCTGCAGAACTTCCTTCTCTCCGCCCCGCAGGAGCCCACGGAGCACATGCAGGGCCTCAGCGTGATCGAGAGCCCGCTGGAGCCCGCGCAGACCGAGCCGGTGCACGTAATCACGCTCTCCAAGGAAACCCTGGAGCATCTGCACGTCCAGCGCGGGCAGACGGCGGAGCTGCCCTTGGCAGGTGCGCCGGCCCCGCCCACCGCCCACGTGCCCGCTGCCCACGTGCCCCCGCCCTCCCCGCTGAGCCCGGATGGGAGCTGACCTAACCTGGACGCGCCTTCCGTCCGTGGACCTCGGTCCGAGGACAGCAGGCTTTCTGAACCACTCCGAACGCAGCCTTCGGGTCCTGGGACCGCTCGCTGACAGTCCTCCCGCTTTCCACCCAGGCCCCAAGATGTGCGTTTCGTGTCTTGTGTGCTGTCCTGATCTGGATTTAGCCTTCGATGTTGATGAACGGTCTTCATTTTCCTCGACATCTCTGAAAGTCGTGGGTAATTTTGATTTGGGGGCACTGAATTAGACTCGAAGTCTTGAATGTCCACGGCCACAGGTTATATGGTCTTGCTGACCTTTCCAATTAGCTTTTCTAGAACAAAGGAAGCCCCGTACTGGTTGAATGCGGTAGAATGGTTTGTTCCACTTCTTTATTTCTCGTAGGCAACACAGTTGCTTCTCTAAGGTAAGTCAGGGCTGAATGCGACAGATGACAACGCTGGAGAATCTGTCCTACTATCTTCTAATTCCCTAAGACAGAGTCACTGTCAACATATAATCTCTGTGTGGTACAGTGGGTTCTTTGTGTCATATTTAAGGGAGATTCAAAGACATAGAAACTGAAAGTCTGTTGTAACTCAAAATGAATATAATAAATTCAAAAAAGTACAGGATTATTTTAAAAATTTTAACTCCGCTTTTCTGAGAAACATAGATTTATATTTTTTTTGGATTTACATATTTTTTAAAGGCAGGTTATTGAAAATTTAATTTAAAAGTCTAATGAAACTGGATCAAGACATTCAGCCCATAAATTCTGAATTTTTGTTAGCAATGATACTTGTTTGATAAAGTTAAGACTCCATTATCCTGGAATATAAGATTTTATTTAATGTAATTTAAGTGTCAAATATACTCTACTGAATTCTAATTGATTCTGAAAGTGATCTGTGCATTGTGTCTGATAACTTTCTGGAGATGGGACCTTATAATCTATTTTTATTGCCAAGTAGGTTAAAGCTCACAAAATGGATATCTCATTTTAAAAAGTAAATATCATCACCTGATCTTAAAAATAATCTGAACCTCAGAGCCTTAGTAACCTGTCTATAACTGTGGTATGATTTTAAATTTAATTGTCAAAAGTTGAAATTATGTGTGGGTTAGGTTTTCAAGCCCAGTGTACTTTTTGAATACTTCGATTGCTTTCTCTCAAGTGGACTGATAGAAGATTTTGGAGAAAAGAGGATGGGCACTAGTACATCTAAGTTAACATAATGCTGGCGGAGAGTAGGGCTAATCTACCCTAAAATGAACAGGATCTTGAGATCAGTTACTTTCTTGCTTTAGGCATCTTTGATTTCTACCTGAATCAAGAAGGTTTTTTTAGAGGTTAAGTTAATACATTTCTTCAGGTTTGAGGGAAGATGAAAGCATTTTTTTCCCCACATATTTGCCAAATTAGATTTGATTATATATAATTCACAAGATTTCTAAAATGTGTATCTTAACGTGTATCAGCCAAAGTGATGTTTAAATCACCCCTGAATGGAGCCAAGATAAAATTTTTACAAATACAGTTATGACCTAAATGCTATTTCAGGTTCTTAGTCATTTAAACTATCTACTTTAACCTTATTCTTAAAATGCAAAGTTTTTAGCGAGCTTTTCAAAGCTTACTGGCCCCCGGTTTCTGCTGGAGATACACGGTATTAACGTAAATGAATTTTTAACTACTCAGTCTGGAGAGGTGGAGAATTATTCAGGAAATATGGTCACATAAGTCAAGCTTAACTAGCTTGGTGACAGTCTACCTCTGCACTAGGAGAAATAGAATATGGGCCACATGTAATTTTAAATTTTTTAGTAGACGCATTAAAAACAAGGTGAAATTAATTTGAATAATATGATTTAATCCAACATGTGCCAAATATCATTTCAACATGTAATCAATATAAAAATATATTAATAAGATATTTTATATTTTTTCATATATTTTCCACTTAGTGCACAATTTGGATGCTAATGTTCTTTGGACATACATGATCTGTATTTAGAGTTCATACAATTTACAATTGAAAACCTAGATTCACATACAGTTGCAGACATACTTAATTTTTTCCCAGTAACTGAAGTAATTACTGGTTTAAATTTATATTAAAATTAAAACCTGGGGCACCTGGCCAGCTCAGGCAGAAGAGCATGTGACCGTTGATCTCAGGATCATGAGTTCAAGACCCACATTGGGCAAAGAGATGACTAAAAGAAAATACTGAAAAAAAAAAAAAAAAAACAAACCCATCACCAGTTCCTCAGTCACACCAACCACATTGTGAGTTCTTGGTAGCCACATGTGTGGCTAGTGGGTTCTGTTGTGTATGACACAGGCGTACCTGTTTCTAACTTGAGAGCTGGTCTCAGCCATAAAAGTATCTTCTGTTTGACCAGCTGTCAAAGGGAGAGGAGGAAATGAGAGCTTTATAAATGTAGCCTCTCTTTTGTGTCCCAGATACACATTCTGCTCTCTGAAGTCCCAAATTCTAAAGTTCATTGCCTCTGTACCCAAAGTAAATGTCATGTACATAAAAATGTTTCTATTGTTTGAGAAATTGCCGGCTCAATGTTTCACAACTTATTTTCTACTAAACTTGTACAGTTTTTTAAATTGTTTTAACAAATGCAGAAATACAAAGTGTGCTTCATAGGATATAGAATATTATGCTTTGGGTTACTGAAATGCACATTCTCACTTTCAAAAAAATGAATCTTTGGTAGAGGGCTCTTAGTAGAGGGCTAGCCTTGGAAAGACTGGCACTCCCACCATCAAAATGAGTTTTTTATTCATTTGATTGCATCTGCTGCCTTTTTTTTTTTTTTTAAGTACTTAAGGACCATGCCAGACGGGGGGCTTGAACTCGTAACCCTGAGGTTGAGAGTCACATGCTCTACCAACTGAGCCAGCAAGGCACCCCTACATCTATTTCTTGAAACTTTCTACCTCTACTCTATTTTATGCAGTTGGTTCCTGGGATTCTAAGTGTTGTGAGCAGCCAGTTAAATAATGCTGAAGAATATAGTGATATTCTCATTATAGATGCTTACATTTAGGTTTTCATAAATTGGATAATAACGTCTGCCACTTACTGAGTCTTTACTACGGGCCGGGAGTGAAACCAAGTGTGGTAGGTCTGTATCTTATCTTTGTGCTTCTCCATTTTCTCCTGTGTCATGGCACACAAAGTAGGACTTACACGGCCGCCTGCGGTTAGGGAAGTCCAGGGAACCCCCCCCCCCCAAGTCATGACTGGTCTGTTGGCTTGCGAGGGCTGCCGTGACAGAAACTACAGACTGGGTGGTTTAAGGCAACAGAAACATATTTTCTCAGTTCTGGAGGCTAAAAGTCCAAGTTGTTGGCAGGGTTGGTTTCTTCTGAGGCCTCCTGACCTCCTTTCCTCCCTGTGTCTTCACATGGTCTTGCCCCCTGTGTGTTTTGTCCTAATCTTAGAAGGACACCAGTCACCACTGGATTCGGGTCCACCCTCATCCTAACGACCACATTTTCACGTAGTTGCCTCTTTAAAGGCCTTGTCTCCAAACACAGTCACATTCTGAGGTGCTGGGGGTTAGGACGTCACCATGAATTTGGTGGGGACACAGTTCAGCCCATAATAACACACATCTGGAACAAGGAGAGAAGCAGCATCTGGGAGGCACCTATACCCTGTGCTTCAGCACAGTCTTATTTTACTTAATCATCATGACATTATCAAGGGGTATGTAATGTGCCTATTTTACAGATGAGAACATTGAGGCCCAAACAGATGAAGTCTCTTGCCCAAAGTCACATAGTAACTGGCAAAGCCAGACTGATGCACAGGGCCAGCAGAGCCCACTACACTGCTTCTGCCAGATGGGCTTTTCCATCACCAGTCGTTTGATACTTTAAGCTGGATTTCTATTTACATAACGATCTGCTTGATGTAATGGGAAATTTTTGACTAAAATTGAAAATCTGAGGCACCTGGCTGGTTCAGTCAGTTGAGCATACATACAGCTCCTGATATCAGGGTTCGTGGGTTCAAGCCTCATGTTGGGCATAGAGCCTACTTAAGAATTGATCTGTGTCTGACATTTTAGCACACAAACTTTTTACATAAAACAATAATTATAAAAGGTACATAGTCTTTGTCTTATGGAAGGATTACCATATTAATATTCATATTAGTATTTTACTACTGTTGGTTTAAAGCTTCACAGAAATTTGGGGTGCCTGGGTGGTTTGGTGGGTTAAAGCCTCTGCCTTCAGCTCAGGTCACGATCTCAGGGTCCTGGGATCGAGCCCCACATCGGGCTTTCTGTTCAGCAGGGAGCCTGCTTCCCCCTCTCTCTGCCTGCCTCTATGCCTACTTGTGATCTCTCTCTCTGTCAAATAAATAAATAAAATCTTTAAAAAAAAAAAAAAAAGCTTCACAGAAATTTACCTATTGGATGAAAGTTACTGCTAACATGAAAATGCCTTAACATGAGCTTTTGTGAGCCTCTTTTTCAAACTCCTGACAGGATGTTTTACATTTAGGGCAGACTTTTGTTTGTTTGTTTGTTTTTTGTTTTTTTGTTTTAGAGAGGGGGAGAGAGCATCAGAGCAGGAGAGTGGGGGAAGGCAGAGGGAGAGAAAGAATCTTAAGCAGGCTCCATGCCCAGCTTGGAGCCTGATGTGGGGCTGGAACCCACAACCCTGAGATCATGACCTGAGCTAAAACCAAGAATCGGACACTTAACCAACTTAGCCACCAAAATACTCTTATTTGTTAAGCATTGAGGTGAATTGTTATCCTCGCTTTCCAGACTGATATAAGCCTAAATTCTTAAGAATTGAAAGAAAACTCTTGGTCTTACTCTTGTAAACAGCAGGCTTGGAGGGATGACCCAAAAAATCCCCCTTGCTTTTTGTAAACAGCAGATGTTGAGGAATGACCTCTAAAAGATGCAGGAATGTCACTGTGATAGTTTATATAGCTTTCAAATTCTTTGCACATAATTAAGCAACAAACACTTTTGTTGGCTGTAATATATATATAATATATATTGTCTATATATAACATATACACACACACTGTATATCTAAAATCATTGTCACTTAAAATGTACCACGTTAGGAGAGCTTTTTTTTTTTTTTTAAGATTTTTTTATTTATTTGAGAGAGCGAGAACATGGGAGAGAGAGCATGCCTGGTGAGCAAGCCAGTGCAGGAGCTGACGGGGGAGGGGCAGAGGAAGACAGAGGCAGACTCCCTGCTCAGCGGGGCTCCCAGCTCCACGGGTAGTCTGCTTCTCCCTCTGACCTTCTCCCCTCTCATGCCTTCTCTCACTCTCTCTCTCAAATAAATAAATAAAATCTTTTTTAAAAAATTAAAAAATAAAAACCTCCCTCTCAGATAATTCTAGTATGATTAAATGGCTTCTGGACAAACTTAACCCATAATCTTGCCTGGGCTCCTGCCAAGGCCTGAGCCGCCTTTTCTACCCCTCCCCTGCACCCCTTTCGCCACTGGAAGTCCCATCTATTTGGGCTCACCACGGTGCCTTCAGTGGCAAGCAGAGGGTCTTGCTAAACGAATGGATATTGTCTTACTAAGGCAAATATCGTATCTCTGCTTAAAATCCTCCTGCTGATTCCCACTGCGCTCAGAAGAAAATCCAAAATGCAGCTTCCTCTTGGGCCCCTTCCCCATTCTCACTTCCAACCACACTGGCTTCCTTGCTGTTCCCCAAACACACTCAGCAATATCCTGCCTGAGAGCTGGAGGCAGGTGGTTTCTGGAGGCTTGGAAGGTTTCAGCCCCTACTTCCTGGGACTAATGTCTGCTCATCGGTCAGCATTCAGTGTGTCACTTCCTCGGGGAGACCTTCCCTGACCATCTAACTGCAATTAAGGTGCCCTTTCCTGTCTGCTCACAGGACTCTACACTTTGGACTCAGCTCATAATTACATTTACATCAGGAAGTGAGTCCGTCCGGTCACACTGCAGCCCTAGCTCTGGGCCCGGGGCTGTAGGTGTGCTGTTTGACCTCATGGACCTACAGGTGGGAGGCCATATTACAGGGTGGCTGGGACACGTCATCCGCAGGACAACGGACGACTTTGCTGAGACACAGAACCCAATGTGGGTCAAAGGAAACGGATCCTGTCTTAACGGCTTGGAGTTTAGGCCTTCGAGTCTGTACATTTCTTAGGGTCACCAGCATCGAATCACGGGATTTTAGAATCGAAATGGGCTGAGGAGGTTGAGTTCTTCAACTGCCTCCATTTAGAAATGGTAAGGCTGGAGCCTGCTGGTTGGTGACTTTGTCAAGGACACACTAAGCTCGCAAAGCCGAGCTGGAAGCTGGAAGTCTGCCCACACCTAACCGATTCTAGACCGGGAAACTCCCCATCGCTCTGTGCTCCCAATGTGTATCTTTAATAGGCAGAGAGTGAAACTCCAAGTCAGCAGATTCTTGGCATTGAAGTCGTTTTTGTCCTGTGATCTTTTTTAAAGACAAATTTTACCATTTATCCTTCAGAGGGCCACATAATCCTGTTTGGCTGCAAGGGCAAACAAAGTCACCGAGTCAAGGGCCAGATCCTCCTGGGCCTTTGCAAACACACGAAGTTGGGGCAGCCCATTGTTTACATCTGCTAATGAAAGGGAAAGGCAGGAGGGGGTTCTAGAAGCCTGCAACCCATTTCTAGTGGATTACAGAATACTTGTGACACTGTGGATTTAAGTATGGGCGTGGCTGATTTGGGGCACATTTATTTCAAGCCAAATGGCGAGTCACACTCAAGAGCTAGGAATGGCCCCGACTGGGAGGCTGCCCTAGTTTCCTGAGTGTGACCTGGCTGAATTCCCTGTCTCTCCAAGCAGAGAGCAGGCATTTCCCCTTGCCTGCCTTCCCCTGCCTGCTTCTCAGCTAGAGCTGGGAGCAGTGAGTGTTCAGGTCTTACAGGTCCCTGCGAGTTTCCAGGGGAAAACAAAGTGAGATTGAAGAGGAAGGGAGAACCACAGGGCACCCAGCTCTTTCTGGTCCCTGGAGCTCAAGGAGAGGGACCCTCGCATTTATTCCCCGAATGTCTCTCATGTAACCGTGTCACTTCCTCTAAACAAGAAACCGCTTCTTCTAATGCCAGCCTTTCATTTGGCCTACTGGCTCCACAGGGCTGTGGTGGAGTGCACACGGACCTGGGCCCCACGCTAGCTAGCTCTGCCACTTGCTGCCTTTCATGCTGCAAGTTACAGAACCTCTGTGACCCTCAGTTTCTCTTCCAGTAAAATGGGTCTGTTGTGATCATTGAAATTATAGTTATACTCCTAGTAGCTGCTCCATACATGAGAACTGGTGTTTTATTAACTAGTTGAAAGACCTCGAGGACCTTCACATTCAGCCCTGTTTCCTTATCAAGAATTTGAGAAAGTTGATCCCAAAGATTCCTCAAGCCCTTTTCAGTATTGACAGTTTAATGGGTCCTTTCTCCAAAGTCCGCTTTAACACCGGAAATCCGGACTCTCTCCCACACACCCCTCCTATTTGCCCCTTAGTAGCGGTCGAACCCCACCCTCACCCCCACCACACCAAGACCCCCTCGCCCTCTCACTTCTCCTGCCGCTGTGGAAGCTGCCGACTGCCAAGTTCCCAGAACATTAATCCGTGCCCATTGCCCTCAGCTAGGGTCTAGGGGCAGACTTGTCGCAGGGGAGCCCGAGCCTGGATCCATCGTGGGAGCCCGGGCCGCGCCGTGGATCGCCTGGTAAGAGAGATGAAGAGAGCACCTACGGACCCGCCAGCTTCTGCGAACTTCTTGCCCAGCCCGAGCGCCCCCTCCGCCCGGCGCTCGGAAGCGGCTCGCAGAGCTGGTACCGCGCAGGAGTGGGTGGCCTCGCCCGCCCGGGATGGGCTAGGTCCGCAGACTCGGGTGGCGGGATGCAGCTGGGGGCCGCGCTGTGCCATCCGGCGCCGCGCGTCGGGGACCCCGGGCTCCTCGGTCTCCGCCAGCCACGCCCGGGGTGCCGACCCCTAAGCGGAACAAGGCATCGGCAGAGCCACACCCTCGGGCACCACCCAGCAGACGTGGGCGGCCCTGGGGCTACCCCGAGCCTGGGATCGCGGCGTAATGAGATGCTAATGAGGCGCGAACAAAGCCTCGCGGCCCCCGCACCGGGCCTTAACTCCCCGCCCGGGCGCAGCGGGCTCACCGCCCCGCGTCCGCCGCTTTCCCTCCGCGGCTCCGCCGCCTCCCCTTCGTCCGCCCCCGCCCTCCCCCACCCGCCCTGCCTGAGACGCCCGCGGGGCAGGAAGCGGCCCCTCCCCGCTCGCCCGAGGCCGGGTAAGTACCCTTAGCTGCGCGGGCTGCGCGGGCTGCGCGCCCCTGCCCGCGGGGGCCGGGGCTGGGGGCGGGGGCGCGCTTCCGGGGAAACCCGCTCCCCGGGGCTCGGGAATTCCGTCTGGCGGGTCCGGCCAGTCTCCCCTCGCCTGCTCAGCCCCTCTCCAGACTTACCCGTCCCGATCGTGGACGTCCAACCCCCCCACCCCAACTCCGGTGCCAGTGGTCCAACTTCCTCTCCATCCTTCCACATTGCGCCCCACTCGCACATCCTTTGTTCCGGCCTTTCCAGCCTGAGTCGCCGCTCTTTACCCCTTCGCGGAGGTTTTCCTCCTTCCATTCCCCCGAACCCACTAGAGAGACCTTTGCCCTTCTGATGTTCCGGCTGCCCGCATCCAGGTGACCCGCAGCGGGTAACTTTACTCTCCTCCTTCCTCGGCCAGGCCCGCCGGGCTCCAGCCGGGACCGGTGGGGTGGCCGAGTGCGCGTGGGGGTCAGCTCCAAGGACCTGCCCCAGCGATGCCACCGAGTTACCCCCTGGACACCCTCTTATTTTTCCCAGTCCCACCGTGAGAGGCCCCCCTCGACACCCTTCAAGTTGCGTGGGGGCTCGAGCGAGGGAGAGGGGGGACAAAGGGAGGCCTTGTCTCGGGAGATTCCTGGGAGAGCGCGGCCGGTCGCCCGGGGGCTGGGGCGGAGCGTCGCTGCGAGTGGGAGGAAGCTGGGAGCAGCTAACCCCGGCTGTCGTCCCCCCTGACCGCTGCCAGGCCCACCGGAGCTGCCGCCAGTCACAGGGGAAGTGTTTTAACCACAGTGAGTCAGAAATAGACCGAGTCCTCCGTCACGCCAGTCAGTCGCAACATCCTCCGACAGTCTGTTGAGGTGGTTTGGGTGGTGGGAAGTGGATCCTAGGGAGGTGGAGACTGGCTCCTCCTCTACCTCAGGAGGCAATCACGGGTGCTCTGGAGGACAGCTTTGCTCCCGGCATGAGTCGCACCCCACGCCCAGAGTGGTGCCGGGGTCCTTGCGGGGTGCCCTCACAGGGAGGCGTGGGGGGAGAGGGGACATGATGTGTGCCCAGCAGCTGGGATGGCAGTTATTGGGTATGTCCGGGTCTGCCCCTCAAGGACAGCTCTCCTCCTGGGCTGCCTGCCTTCCGCACTTCTGAGATCCTCTCCCACGCCCAGCTTCCGGGGCCCCATCGAGGCAGGGTAAGAATTCCTGCTCCTAGTGCTCCGGAGGTGGAGGAGAGCTCTGAGCTCCCTGGACAGGGAAGCTGAGCTGGAGACACCCGTCTTCCCTCCTGCCCGCTGTGCCCAAGACTGCAGATTGTTCACTTCCAAATTTGGCAGATTTCACTTGGGAGTGGAAGGACTAGCAGCTCTTTCTGGAGCAGATCGGGAGTGGGCTGGGAGGGAGGAGCAGGGCCAGTCAGGGGTGGACCCAGAGCCCCCTGGGGACACCAGCCTGCTCTCTTCTCCTCCCCATCCTTTTCCTTTCTTCCCTTCTCCAGCCTCTTCCCCTTCTCTTCCCTCCTCTCCAGCAGCTGCCTTCCTCTGCTCAGCTGCTCCCTGCCTGGGAGCCTCGGGGCCTCCATGGCTGAACCCGCCTCCACCAACCCAGCGCACGCCCACTTTGAGAGCTTCCTGCAGGCCCAGCTGTGCCAGGATGTGCTGAGCAGCTTCCAGGGCCTATGTGAGGCCCTGGGGCTAGAGCCCGGTGGGGGGCTGCCCCAGTACCACAAGATCAAGGCCCAGCTCAACTACTGGAGCGCCAAGTCGCTGTGGGCCAAGCTGGACAAGCGAGCAGGCCAGCCAGTCTACCAGCAGGGCCGGGCTTGCCCCAACACCAAGGTGGACACATGCTGCCTGGGACAGGGCTTGGGCGGCTGGGTGGGAGTCAGACGGGGGAGACGGGATGCCATGCCCATACTGCCGCATGTGTGTTCGCAGTGTCTGGTGGTGGGTGCCGGACCTTGTGGGCTGCGGGCTGCTGTGGAGCTGGCTCTGCTGGGGGCCCGTGTGGTGCTGGTGGAGAAGCGCACCAAGTTCTCCCGCCACAACGTGCTGCACCTCTGGCCCTTCACCATTCACGATCTTAGGGCCCTCGGCGCCAAGAAGTTCTACGGGCGCTTCTGCACAGGCACCCTGGACCACATCAGTGAGCACCACGTGGTAGCCTAGAAGGGCGGGTGAGCCTGGGCCTCCAGACAGGCCAGTTGGGGGCTGCTGGGACCTCCAAGGGGCAGAGTGGACGAGATCCACTCTAGCCAGGTGACCTGTAGGACTCAGGTTCCTCATCTGTAAAATGGCCAGTGGAACTGAGTGATCTCTAAGACCTTTTCCACCTCTGACCCGGAGCACACGGGTGCTTGGGGACCCTATGCAGCCCTGGGGTCCCTTTTTGTAATCTCCTCTCCCTTCCAGGCATCCGGCAGCTTCAGTTGCTTTTGTTGAAAGTGGTATTACTGCTCGGGGTGGAAATTCACTGGGGCGTCACTTTCACCGGCCTCCAGCCCCCTCCCAAAAAGGGTAAGTGCTTTTCTGCTTCCGAGACTCCCATCTGCTAAGGATATTTGGCTCGTGGAAGAAAAAAGGGAAGAAAAAGATACTCTGTGGGATTCGGAGTCAACCGAGCCCTTTGCAATCGTGTGGCCTTGTGCAAACCACACTGAGCCTCATTGTGAGCATCTGTAAAATGTCCTTCCTTACCTACTTTCCACAGCTGCTGTGAAGGCGTGAGTTAATAGACAGTGTGTCATTGCTTGCTAAACTGTCAACCGCAAAGGGCTTTACGCGTTTGTTTGTTTCCCTGGCTTGTCCTGGGAATGGAGAGGTCCCTTCAGACTTCCACACCTTTGTGCCTCTCACACTTTCTGCCCCAGGGAGTGGCTGGCGTGCCCAGCTCCAGCCCAGCGCCCCAGCCCAACTGGCCAACTATGAATTTGATGTTCTCATCTCCGCTGCTGGAGGTAAATTCGTCCCTGAAGGTGAGTGATCCCTTCTTTCAAAGAAGCCAGCATCTTAGCCTCCTCCTGTGCCTTTCTAGGCTATATCATGCCCCTCATTCTCTTGCTGATACCTACTACCCTCACTTGCCCCCACTTCTAGGCTTCACGGTGCGAGAAATGCGTGGCAAACTAGCCATTGGCATCACGGTCAACTTCGTGAATGGACGCACAGTGGAAGAGACACAGGTGCCTGAGATCAGCGGAGTGGCCAGGATCTACAACCAGAGCTTCTTCCAGAGTCTGCTCAAAGCCACAGGTCAGGACCCCCTCTCCAGGATCTCCCCTCCCACTGGCTGACTGTAGGCTGGTTCCTCCCCTTCCCGCCCTGGGCCTGAGACAGAGGGCCCATCATGCCACCGGAGCTCCCGGGCCCCTGTGTGGGGGGCACCCACCGCAGTCTAAGCTGTGATGCCCTCCCCAGGCATCGATCTGGAGAACATCGTGTACTACAAGGATGACACCCACTACTTTGTGATGACAGCCAAGAAGCAGTGCCTGCTGCGCCTGGGGGTGCTGCGTCAGGTGGGCCCGGGCCTCGGGGGGTAGAGGCCAGCTCTGGACACAGTGTCTCACCCTGGTGCGAAAGGAGCCTGTCCTCTTCTGTCTTTGCCCTGACATTTTCTCCACCTCAACAAGCTCTTCTCCTCTGGGGTGTACATGGCAACCTGGATCATATTCTAGGCTAAATGGTACCAGCCACAGAGCTACATATGTAAGCTCTGCAAGGGCAGGGGGTTTTGTGTCTTTGTCCTTTTTGCTTGCTGACGATTCCCAGGGCCCAGAATGGTACCTGAGTATAGTCAGCTCCCAGTAAATATTTGCTGAATGAACTAGGTGAAAGAAAACCTGCTATGTGCTAGGTACTGTGTTGAGAACTTGATGTGCATATTCTCACCTAAATGCTCATGAATACCTTGAGAAGTTAGGTATGTCATCTCTAAATGATGGGGAAACTGAGGCTGAGAAGTTCAGGACTTGTCCAGAGAAAGTGCACCGTTAACAGCAATGGTCCTAGGCCTTGGGGGCAGGGTGGGGCCGGGGGCCATGCTGAGGAAGGGGCTGGAGGATGGGAGGCAGGTGTTCAAATTCCAGTCCAGCGCGGCTGACCCTGTGGGTTCTGCTCTGTCGGCCTGTAGGACTGGCCGGAGATCGACCGGCTGTTGGGCAGTGCCAATGTGGTGCCCGAGGCTCTGCAGCGCTTCGTCCGGGCCGCGGCGGACTTCGCCACCCATGGGAAGCTTGGGAAGCTGGAGTTTGCCCGGGATGCCCACGGGCGGCCTGACATTTCCGCCTTTGACTTCACAAGCATGATGCGGGCAGAGAGCGCTGCTCGAGTGCAGGAGAAGCACGGCGCCCGCCTGCTGCTGGGGCTGGTGGGGGACTGCCTGGTGGAGGTAAGGGGGCCAGGGCTCTCTGACTGGGGCGGGGGGAGAGGATGAGCTTCCTGGGGCTTCTAGAAACGGGAACTCTCTGTAAAGAGGTGCAGGGGTTCCATGGTTGCGGGGAGGAAGGTTGCCTCCTGGTAAAGGAGGGGGTGAAAAGGTTTGCTGGTTGTGGGGAGCTGAGGGCTGCTTGGTGTGGTGTCAGACCCCATCAGCTGTGATTCTAGGGGGTAGCAGGGCTTGGGCGCTCCTGCTGGACTCTCACTGAGCTATTTCCTATCTTTTTGGTCCTGCAGCCCTTCTGGCCCCTGGGCACAGGGGTGGCTCGGGGCTTCTTGGCAGCCTTTGATGCCGCCTGGATGGTGAAGCGGTGGGCAGAGGGGGCTGGGCCCCTAGAAGTGTTGGCAGAGCGGTGAGGCCCGAGTTGGGGGGTGGGGAGGGCTGGGTTAGAAATAGGACAAGGATCAGGAAGAGGGTGGGATGCTGGGTGAATAGACGGGGCGGGGTGAGAGAGGAAAGAAAGGCCTGGCAGTTCTCAAGGGGTGGGTGCTGATGGGTGCCCTCCCCCCTGTGCCCCTGCCCTCCCTCGCACTTCCTCCCTCAGGGAGAGCCTGTACCAGCTCCTCTCACAGACCTCCCCGGAAAACATGCACCGCAATGTGGCCCAGTATGGGCTGGACCCAGCCACCCGCTACCCCACCCTGAACCTCCGGGCTGTGACTCCCAATCAGGTCAGACCCCCTGGCACCCACCAGACTCCTCCATGGCAGGCCCCTACCCATGGGCTGAGGCGGGTGGTCAGCCTGTCTGGAGACCTGAAAGGGGCTGCCTTAGGTACGAGACCTGTATGACGTGGTGGCCAAGGAGCCTGTGAGGAGGAACAGTGACAAGACGGATGCAGGAAAGCTGGCCGCAGGTGAGCAAGCCTTCCTTGGCTGAAGGTGGGGCAGTGGGGGTGGGCGGGTTGTCTAAAATATTTGCCACCCAGTGTGGTGCCAGCCCCAGCCATCAGCCCAGTGGCAGCCTCAGGCGGAGGGAGGACAGTGGGGAAGTCCAAGGCCTCCCCAAGGGCACGGGGGCAGCAGCGCGCAGAGCAGGGGCCCGTCTGCGTGCCCATAAGTCAGTATGGTACCAAGCCCTACGGCCCCTCTGGCGGCAGCCCGCAGCCCGCTGAGCCCTCCCAGCCTTGCGGACCCGCCCTCCCTTTGAGGCTCCGGGCCTCCCGTGTCCCTCAGTTCACGGCCTCCTGCTCTCTCTGTGGTTAGCGGGGATTCCACTTGATTCATTCTTCCACTTTATTCCAGAAAGACAGCTGGGATGAAGGCAGTGTCGCTCAGTGAGCACTAAGTTGGCGCCCCCGAAGGGATGGGCCCTGCCTGCCCCTCCCAGACTGATCTCTGTGCCCAGAGACCAGGCTCCCTTCGAGCCAGGGCCCTGGGGCACAGCACAGCGTTCTCTCTCAGGGTCAGCAGGCACCCAGGAGGAATTGCTACGCTGGTGCCAGGAGCAGACGGTGGGGTACCCAGGTGTCCACGTCACCGACCTGTCCTCCTCCTGGGCTGACGGGCGGGCTCTGTGCGCCCTGGTGCACCGGCTGCGGCCCCGCCTGCTGTGAGTTCAATTCAGGCTCGGCGCTCCTGGGCAGACCATACCTCTATCGCGCCTCTGCGGCAGTGTGGACTGGGGGTCAGAGCACTGTGTAGGAGTAGCCCTCCACCCTCCGTTGAGGGCCAGTGCACCACTTGCTGGCAGTCGACCTGCCCAAGTCAGTGCACGTCCCCGAGTCTTGTGGGAGTCAGATGCATTCAGTAGGGAGGCTTGTGAGCACTGGAGGCCCCCAAGGCCAGAAAGTCATCAGTGGGCAGGTGGGGAGCACGTCTAGAACAGAGAATAAACCCCTTGTGCCCTAGCCTCCTTTCGTGCCCCACCAGCCCCTGCCTGCTGCTCATTCCTTATCCTCTCCCCCTTTGCTGGGCCCGGTGCTGGTCTCCCATGGACTGTTCTCCCCAACGTCACACAGGGAACCCTCAGACCTGCAAGGGCTGGGGGCCCTGGAAGCGACTGCTTGGGCGCTAAAGATGGCGGAGCATGAGCTGGGCATCACGCCTGTGGTGTCCGCAAAGGCAGTGGTGGCAGGGAGTGACCCACTGGGCCTCATTGCATACCTCAGCCACTTCCACAGCACCTTCAAGAACGTGCCCCACAACCCAGGTGGCCTAGAAGGTAGGAGCAGGGGAGGGGAGAGGTAGGGGGATGGGAGGGTGAGGTGCCCTCTGAGGGACAGCTGGGAGCGGGGTCCTGGGCTGGACCGTAGCTGTCTGGAGGTACAGCACTGACACCCCGTCCACCTGGACACCCCCTCTCTCTGAAGGCCCTGCCAGCCAAGGCTTTCCGGGGAGCTCCAGTGCTGTGCTGTTCCTGGGCAAACTGCAGAGGACCCTGCAACGGACCCGGGCCCAGGTGCGCATCTGGGCATGGTCGGAGCTGAGCAGTGGGGGTGCCTGGGACGATGGGGAGGACATTCATGATGGCGGCAGGGCTGCAGCTCCGAGCGCCATGCTGAGTGTAGGTCTTGTTGCAGGAAAATGGGGAGGATACTGGTGGCAAGAAGCCACGCCTGGAGGTAAATGCATGTAGGGCTGCAGTCCCCTGCTCTCTCCTGGGTGTTCTGTCCTGCATTCTCTAACCCTCCTACCCAGGTTCCCTTCCTGGCTCACTTCTCTTTCACATCTTTCTAGTCTCTGCAAACAACCACTCTCCTGCCCCTCCACCTTCCTCCCTGAACACTTACATCCTTAGGTAGAAGCGAAGAGCCCAAGTACTGAGGAGCCACCTGCCCCAGAGTCTGGTGTACCCCCGACACCCCCATCCCAACCCCAGGAGGTGAGAAAGGGGGCCTGCTGCAGAGGCCTGGGAAAGGCAAAAAGGGGTGTTTCAAGGATAAGGAAGAACTCCACAGCTGGCCTTTACCCCAGCTGACCCTGTGGTCTGGGGGTCGATGCAGGCCGGTGCCGGGGACCTATGTGCCCTCTGTGGGGAACAGCTCTATATCCTGGAACGCCTCTGTGCTGATGGCCGCTTCTTTCATCGGAACTGCTTCCGCTGCCGCACCTGTGAGGCCACGCTGCGGCCGGGTGACTATGGGCAGCACCCAGGAGATGGTGAGCAGGCCTGGCCCTGTCTGGGGGCATGGAGCTTGAAACTGGAGGGAAACTGGGGTCCTGGGTGATGGCAACAGGCTCAAAATGGCATTTTTCTCCCGAGTTCAAAGTCTTCTCTGTCCCCTCCATATCCCCCAATGTGGGGTTCTAAGGAACCGGGCCAGCAGAAATTCACCTGCAAATCATGTCCCGTCAGCCCTGCCCTCGCTGATCAACAGAGTATCTGGGTATCGGGCTGCTGACATCTTCTATCTGCCCCCCTCCTCTGCTCTTTCCAGGATATTTCTACTGCTTCCAGCACCTGCCCCAGCCAGGCCACAAGGAGGATGGCCCTGACCCAGGCCCCAAGAGTCAGGTAAAAACTATGAAATCGTGTGTTGGGGGTGTGAGAAAGAGTAAAGGGGTCTCTCCAAGCCTAGCAGACTTCGCTGGGGGTAACTGAATGTCCTCCTCCTTTAGAAGGAAAGCTGCATGAAGGCAGAGATTTTTATTACTGATGTATCTCAAGTGTCTCAAACACTGCCTAACACCGTTCGCTGAAGGGCATCAGTGAACGAATACCAGGGTCCACATTTGTCTAAAGGGGTGGCCTTGGCCGCACAATGGGCAGGTCACTGACCAAACTACATGGTGGCTTTTCTAGGACCTCCCCACACCGGATGAAAATAGCATGCCATCGGGGCCCTCAACTGTCATCCCCCAGGAGGGGACCAGTCCTGTCCCAAACCCCAGGCAGCCCACCCGTCGGCTGATCCGCCTCTCCAGCCCAGAACGCCAACGGTTGTCCTCCCTTAAGCTTACCCCTGACCCAGACCTGGAACCTCCCCCCAAGCCTCCCCGTAGCTGCTCTGCCTTGGCCCGCCAGGCCCTGGAGGGCAGCTTTGTAGGTTGGGGAATACCAGTCCGGAGCCCTCAAGGTACCTGCTTTGCCCAGATGCACTCACCCAGGGTTGGTGGTACCGGGATTTCTGAAAGGGGAATGCCAGGGAATGGGAAGGGAGGCCATGGGGCCCAGGACATGTCTACTCCCCCGTTCAGTTGTTGTGGCCATGAAGGAGGAGCAGGAACAGAGTCCTCCCTCCAGTGAGGAGGAGGAGGAGGAGGAGGCAGAGGAAACCATGGCTTTGGATTCAGACACGCAAGAGGTGAGGAGGAACCTGGCCACCCGTGCCACCAAAGCCAGCACGTCCTCTAAACATGCTCCACCGCCCACTCCAGGAAAACCTATAGAATGCTCCCTCTGAGCCAGTCTCTCAGAATCTCTAAGCCTTTGTCTGTTCTACTGGAACTTACCCTATCTCCAGCCCAGGAAGTTTTGTCTTCTTCCAGCTTTCCCAGCCCCTACCCAACGGGGGCGGGGGGGGGCTGGGAGGTGGGCAGGTCCTACCTCTGACTGGCCCGACCCTGCCATAGGCTCTGCTGACCTTCGCCAAGAACTCAGGCACCATGAGCAAGTACCCAACATGGCGTCGGACTTTGCTGCGCCATGCCAGGGAGGAGGAGATGAAGCGGTTCTGCAAGGCCCAGGTGAGGTTCAGGGGTTCGCCGTCCTGACGGGGTCAGAGTTTCTCTGAAGCTCTGCACTTGAGCCATCCAAAGACTCCTGGGCCTCCTGTCTTGTCCCGCTCAGGCTGTCCAGCGGCGACTACATGAGATTGAGACTGCTGTGGGGGAGCTGGAGGCCGAGGGCACGAAGGTGGAGCTGGCCTTGAGAAGCCAGAGCAGTGAGTAAAGATGGGGGGGCGGGGGGCACAAGCTAGGACATCCCTCTGCCCCTAGCACTCCCTCCAGCCACCAGACTGTGCCCCCGCAGGCTCCACTCCTCATGCTCCTGACACCTCTGACCCTGGCTGGAGGCCTTCTGACCCCCGCCCCCATTCTTTGTTCCTGTCAGCATCCCCAGAACAGCAAAAGGCACAGTGGCTGGAACAGCTGCTACAGCTCGTTCAGAAGAAGAACAGCCTGCTGGCGGAGGAGGCCGAGCTCATGCTCACGTAAGACGCAGGGGGTGGGGACAGCTGGCACCGGAGCCAGACCCCAGCCAGGTCTTTGGGCACCCGGGACAGCTGTGCCTCTTCGATCCCTGCCCTCCACAGGGTGAAACTGCTGAGCCTGGAGGAGCAGCAGTGTGAGGTGGACCAGGAGCTCCGAGGCTACCTGAACCAGGAAGGTAGGTGAGATGGGGGAGAGGCTGGCATTCACACAGCCTCACGACCTCAGACACTGACCAAGACACATGGTCCTCTGGTCTGAGTGCCTCTGAGGCATTTCAGGAGGAAGCCAGGGAAGGGGGTGCCAAGCCCCTACTCTGCCTTCAGTTCAGCTGGGGCTGCACAGCTGGGCTTTTAGATTAAGATTACTTATTCTAAAAACGGTGCTACCGCAGGGGCACCTGGCTGACTCAGCAGGACGAGCATGTGACTCTCGATCTCAAGGTCGTGAATTCAAGCCCCATGTTCGGCGTACAAATTACACATATATCGTATATATAAAATATATACCGTATCAGTCAGTCACTTGACCTGGACTAAAAATGGTGCTGCTGCTACCAGTGCGAGCAACCGCTTATGTGGACAGACCCAATTTTACAGATGAGGAAACAAAGCCCAAATTGTGAAAGTCACATAGGCTGGGATTAAGCTGTGCCCTTCCTGCCTCCCTGCCCTGTTCCCTGTTCCCTAAAGCTTTGTTGTCTTCTTCAGAAACCGTGAAGACCCCCACTGATCGCCAGGCTGAGGAACAGCTCCTGAAGAAGCTGCTGGATGTGGTGAAGCAGCGAGATGAAATTATCCGCTTCCAGGAGGAACGCAGGCTCAGTGAGCTGGCCTCAAGGCCGGGGGCCCAGGGCTAAAAGGCGGGCTGCCTGCCCTCGTCCCTACACAGAAGACCACCTCAACCCAGGACTGTGCCACCCTGTTCATCTGGGCTGCCTGGGATGGGGCCTCACTGTTTACAATAAAAATGTTTCTGCCAGACAGGGCTTAGGCTGCCTACAGGTGGGAGGCAGGGTGCACAGGGAGAGTAGACATGTAGGAGGCCTGACCGTCTATATTATGACAGTCACAATGACCCGTGGCCCCAGCTGCTGCCCCTACAAGGAAAAGTCAGAGCCTCGAAAGTGTTAAGCTTTATTGTTCCTCAGTTCCATCCCCCTCCTGCTGCCCTAGAAGCAGGGCTGGCTGAGACGCTGGCCCTGAATCCTGGGCCTCCCCTGCCCTTCCCAGCACATGCTGGAGCTCAGCCCGAGCCCCAGATAAGCCCTTGGCCTCCTGCATGTGGAAGAGGTAGACCGCCCCCGCCCCTAGCAGCAGTCCCACACTGGGAGTCCAGAGTAGTATGGCAACTTCCCTGACGCCTCCTCCAGCTGCCAAGGCACACAGCAAGGCCAGGAGAAGCAGCCCTAGACCAATCACGTAGCTGGCGAAGGTGGCCCACCAGCGGGCTTGAGCCACGCCCAGGTCCAGCTCTCTCCAGGCCTCCTTTAATACACTGATCAACTGTGACCCTTCTGGTCCTAGAATAAGGCAGGGCAGTGGGGCAGGAGAGAGAGGGTCAGCGTGGAGGGGCTGCCTTGTGGTGGGGAGGGACCCGGGGAAAGGGTGGAGGTGACTTACCATGAGTAGGGCTGGGAGTGTGCTGGGGGGGGCTGTGTCTCACACACAGAGTAGCCATCAGGGCCTCGTGATCAGAGAGGGGGCTGCCACTGTGAGGATCATGGCCTGTAGTGGTTCTAAGAGTCTTACAGGAGATGTAGAAGCCAGAAACCGCCTAGGAAAAGTCAGGGCCAGAAACATCTTTGAGGGCCTCTCTCCATTCTGCAGGCATCAGTGATCTAAGACTAGACTAGCTGGACAGAAGATGAGCACAAGCTGGTGAAAGACAGACACACGGTGGGTGAAGACACACGGAGAAGACTGACCTTATACAGCACATAGTCAATACGGATGCCAAGCGGAAATGGCTCTAGCTCCCGCTGGTTGACGTAGCAGTTCTCAGGTACCATGGTACAGCCCTCCTCAGAGCCCTAGAGGAAAAAGTGTTCACACTAGGATGTGGGGGAGAAAGACGAGACACGCCGGGGGAGTAGGCATGCAAATAATCAAGGTCCTCACCTTGAAGTCCCGGGTCTCCAGGTAGGCATCATGCAGCCCCGTCCACTCCTTCAGCAGGCGGCAGCCCAGGTCCTTCGGGTGCAAGTTGAGGTCCCCACACAACAGAACCACATCGGCCTTCTTGGATGTGTGGCTGGGGGAACCAGGTCGGTGAGGCAGGCGTTCTTCCCTGACCAGCTCTGCCCTCCTATAAAGTGGGGCCCTGGCCACCTCTCAACCCCTGATCCCATCCCACTTCCCCTGTCAAGCCCAGGCTCACACACTGGATGAACTGGGCCAGTTCCCAAGCTTGGGCCACACGGTGTGTTAGGTAGATGTCCTTCTGTCGACTGTACTCGGCATGGAGCTGAGGGAGACAGGTGAGTGTATAGCACATGAGGCTGACGGTCCCTACTGAGGGGCTAATCACATGTGTGTCTGTCTCTTGGCATGATACTTGGTTAAAAAATGGGCAAACCTTGCCCGCTAACCTCAGAAGATCCCCAAGCCTCACCCTCAGGCAGCCCAACTAGAGGAGTCCCATCTCTCCCTCCCAGCACCAGGACGCCTGTCCCAGTCCTGCCAGCTTCACTCACATGGGTCACGTAGACATTGAGCACCAGTCCACTTAGATGGAGCACCAGTAGCCCCACAGCCTTCCCGCAGAACCAGTCTCCATGATGGATCTACAGGCAAGAGGGAGCGGGAACTCAGGGCATGGCTATCTTCCTTCTGCCCATCCCCTGCGGCCCACGGAAGTCAGCCTCCTTTACCATGTGTTACTGGGGGGCAGGGGGGAATGAAAGCGGAAGAGAGCTGAGGTAAGGCTTACCATGTAGGGGTACCCGTTGAGGGTGTAGACGTGCTGGGTGAATTCCCGGACAGGATGTTTGGAGAAGACGCAGAGGCCGCTGCCGATGACGCCACTGCGAACCGAGTCCTGGTTAATAGCCCCGAAAAGCAGAAGGAGAAAGACCAGGCCTCTTCCCTTCCCTCTTCTCCCGCTTGTATCCGCTACTTTATCTTCTCTGTTTGCTGCTGAGATCAGCACCAGAGCAAAGCTGCAGGCAATAGCCTTTGTGGAATGATACAGTGTGTCCCGATAAGGCGGGGATGGGCTGAAGAGCGCACATCTTCCGGGTTCCACCTACTCCTGCACCCACACCCAGAGGACAGAGGGAGGGTGCCGGTAGGATAGGGAAGGGCGGGTGGGGCCGAGAGCTTCCCGATCCGACAACAGGCTTCCAGACCGGTTAGGCGCTCACCTCCTGAAATAGTGGGCAGCTGGGTAGGAGGGCAACAGCTTCTGTCTCAGGTGCTGGAAGTCCTGCTCACTCCACACCTGAGGGAAGAGGTGAAGTCCCCGGGAGAAGTCCTCTCAAGCGTCCCCAGCCGCCCCCTAGCCCGTCCCAGTCAGGGGTGCACACCAGCTCCACACTGCCCACCTCTTCCAGGAGAGCTAGGTCGAAGCTCTCCATGTTGAGAAAGTCTCCCAGGCGCTTCATGCGGTCGGCCCGGCGCTTGCTCAGGTAGGGAATGGCCCTGTGGACGACAAGGGCCCGGGAAGGCGATGGCTGCAGGCGCGCGGGAGCTGGGGCCGCAGCGGGCGCCCCCCGCCCCCGGACGCTGGAGGACAGGGTAGAGCGGAGGCCCGGATGTGAGGGACGCCGCCTTCCTCCGGCTGAGGGGGCGAATGGAGCTGTGGCCCCGGACCCACCCCGCCGGCCCTCTCACCAGCAGTTGAGGTTAAAGATCCTCAGTCGCAGAGTGAAGTTGGGCTTCATGGCGAGCACGCTCCGCGGGCGCGGGACTGCACGGCCTCCCCGGCGACCGCCGCGGCGGGAACCGGGGGGGCGGGCGGCACCGCCTCCCGGGGCGGTGCGCACAGGTGGTCGGCCCCGCCCCCGTGCGCCCCGGAAGGCTCCGGCCTCCCAGTCCGCGCCGCTCAGGCCCTCGGCCGGGGTCGACTCCGCGGGCAACCGGCCCACTCCCCGCGGCCCCCGCGCAACGGGCTGCACGCCAACCCGGAAAGGCGATCTACCGCGAAATCAGGCGCTGCCGGCGGGCGAGGGCCGCGCGCGACGTCCCTGTAGGGGGAAGACCAGAGGGGGGTTCGGCCGGCCGGGCCGACGCACGCGGGGCCCCCGCGGAGCTCCACGTTCCTTTTCGCGGAAGCTCCGGCCCCGGCCCCGGCTGCCCGCGCACCCTCTCCCGCCCCTCGCCCGGCTCACCAACAACAGGAGCAAAGTTGAGAGACGACAGGGCCGTCGCTGCCGAGCCCCTCGCGTCCTTCCTCCCAGCTGGGGACGGGGGCGGAGCCGCGCGGTTGCCCGGCGACGCGCAGTGTTTGTGCTCCGAGCAGTCCCCCAGCGCCGCCATGGCCAGCCCGAAGCAGTGCCGGCCCAAGTCAGCCCCGTGCCGCTCGCGGTCGCCGCCCGAGCAGCCGCTGCGGGTGAAGGTGGTGGGGCTCTTCAAAAGCTCCAGCTTTCAGATGGCGAAGAGCGCTGCTGAGGTAACCGCGAGGAAACCGCACGTGTAGGCGGCCCTTCCGGTCTCCCGGTCTGGCGCCTCCTGGTGACGGGGGTCGATGTTCCAGGAGGTAGTAGGGATGTGTCCCGGCCGGCCAGGCTCAGTCCGTAAGTCCCAGGGGGCAGGGTCGGGTCCGGTGGACGTTCCACTTCGAGAAGGGCTACCTTTAAAGGGGGATCGGAGTGAAGGAAGGTTCAGAACCTTGCTGGGTGAGGGAAGGTAATCCCCCCCCGCCCCCCCGGTTATCCACATATTTTATTTCCACATCAATTTTTACTTGCGTTATACATTTTTAAAAATTCATGAAAAAATGTTTAGGAAGAAGTGATACGGTACAACCAACCACTGATTTTTGTTTCTTTTTGGTTTTGTTACGAACTCCCTCCCCAAGCGATTTTTGGAAACTTCATTTGGGAAGTGTTTTGGGACCCCGTCCTTTAAATTTTCTCTATCATTTACTGCATTCGAATTAGGTGCTTAAGGGATTTCTCAACAAATGACCCACGAGTGCTTTGGAGAATCCAGATATTTCTTTGTAAACACACGGAACGATATAAAAGGAAAAACACTTTAAGCAACTGGAAGAACTTGGCCAGGTCCGCAGTGGTGCAGCACACATACTACCCAAATGCAAGAGAAATGTAGAATTCAGCACATCTTTGGGGTTTGCTCCGGGAACGCTACTGTTAAGATTATCTCCAAATTCTCTCCTTCAAAACCCCACCAGACTCTGGGACCATGCCCCGTGCATGTTTGTGTATCCCAAAGTATCTAGCTGGATACCTGACACAAAATGTTCTCTAACAGAAGAAATCTTAAGCAACTCCTGCCTTCTTGCTGGCTCTAAGTCCACAAAGTTAAAGTTTGTAATTATATCAAGCACAGAAATAGTAACTGTCGACCTTAAAACAGCCGGTTATTTTACTAGCAAAATGGGTACATTTGATAATAGCACAAGAGTTGCAATCTGGGACATAGAAGCTATGGCAAACCAAGGCAATCTGGGAGATCAAAGGACAGGAACCTTATGGAGAAGAGGAGGAAGCTGGGAAGGGCTGCTCTGAAGAAAACTCCACTGACAGAAAGTGAGAGAGTTCAGGGTGGTGACAGTTTCTCACTGGCTGATTATCTTACTGGCGGTGCTTGGTGCGGAACAAGGAGACATTTTTCCCTTCCTTCTGCTGGAGGAGTAAAATAGACTTAGTCCTGTTGGGAATGCAAGGTTTGTCTCCTGACCTACTCGGGTCTGCAACTGAGGAGGGGTGGTGGTAAGGCATGAGAGCTCCCCCTTCTGGCCTCCCGACGCCATTTTAAGTGAGGTTTCCTTTGCTCAGTTTCAGAGTAATTTGTGGAACAGGTGAGGTTTATATCAAGAGGAAGAGAATAAGCAGTAAATCTGTGAAAACGATACATGGATCATCAAAATAAGCAGAAATTGTGGGCTGTTAACTGGGCTGGTGGGATCTATAAAGTTCATGGCTCAAGCTGTATTTAATGAATTTAAGGAAAAATTTTTTCCCTTGTTTTTCTTTAGCTCCTTTTCTGAGGGCACAAGTTTTTTGTGCCTGCTCCACACTGTAGAGAAGGTTTTGGCAATTTTATTCTGTAAAGCCTAGATATTAAATTATTAGGCTTTCAGGGCCACAGGCTGTAGGGATCTCAGTCACAACTAGATTTTGAACAAAAGTGGCCAGACAATATGTAAATAAATGGTGATTTTCCAATAAAACTTAATTATGAATACTGATATTTGACTTGCATATAATTTCACATGACAAGAAAGATGTCAACTTTTCATCTCTTTTCAACTCCTTAAAATCTGAAAATTCTTCTTAGCTTTCAAGTCTTAGAAAAAGACAGGTTTGGCCTACTAGCCACAGCTTGCCTACAATGTCTTTGTTATATTAGTAACATTAATTTTCCCTTGCTTAAGCTTTGGCCTACTGTAGCTCTCTTTGGAAATGAAAACCTATCACTGTAAATTGAGTTAGTTTGACCTTCATAAAGGATATGGCTTTGAATAATTTCACAACATGATCATTTGGTGAGCAATCCTCAATACCTCATTTACTGTCAGAAATTTAGATTTGTGGAGAGTATTACATAGATTCTAATTTGGATGTAGTCTGTTCTAGACACTAAATTATGAAGAAAGTATGACGAAGTATGCTTAATTTGAAAACTGTTGGGCTTATTAGTTATTCCATATGGCCCCCAGTTAGAAACACAATTGCCCCAAACTGAGCATTGATCCTAGAATTGTGACAAAGGACACATCATCACCTGTTAGTTGGGCAAGAGTCTAAGAAGGAAATGAGCCAACTGCTATTGCCCTCTGGTCCAAAGGGCAGGATACACTCACGCCCTGGTTTCTCCCCCTTGGAAATCCACCCCGATGAAGCTTGCCAGGCTAGTGTCCTCTTTTAGGCCACAGTCGGACCGCGAAGCTCTGTCCTTAGTGGAGACAGCGCCCAGTGCAGCAGCCAGCTGTCACTTTTCCCTGTTGGGCAGATCTCTTCCTCAGCCCCACTCAGAAAGATGAGGCCTGTTCATGCCTCACCTGCCTTCTCTTGCTTAACCAGGAAGCAAAATGCAACATACCAGGAAGTAACATTTTTTTTTTTTTTGACAGGGATTGTTAACCAGTAAAAATCTTCTCTGATCCATATAGACAAAATAATATATGTTAAACCAAAACATGCTCAGGATCTAAACCTAACATATTTAGTATTTACTTCACTTCTTCGCAAAGGGTGTAACCACACCAATATCCTTTTGGTCATTCTCCACATATCAATAAATTAATAACATTTGCTTTAGTTAAAAGTATCTGTAGAGGGAGGGGGATGGGTTAAACGGGCTGGGGATTAAGAAGGGCACTGGTCCTGGTGAGCACCCATTGATGTATGGAACTGTTGAGTCACCATATTGTACACCTGAAACTAAAAAAACACTAGTTTTTAAAAAAAAAAAGTAACATCTTCTTTTCATTAAAAAAAAAAAAAATCTGTAGATCCACTACAGTTTAGTAAGAGTTTAATTTAGGGAAAAACTGGTCCTAAAAGAACATGGCAAATCATGAAATTTATTTGTTCATTTGCTCATTCGTTTGCTATGTGTGGGTGGTCCACTGTCAGATGTTGAGACCACTGGGAGTACATGAAAACTACGACATATATAGTCTTGGCCCTCAAGGAGCTCATACTCTAGAATAATGAGAGGCAAGTAAGCCAGAGCCCCAGGATGAGCTGGGGAGTGACTTAATGGAGGTAAGCACAGGGGCCTCTGGGAGCAAGAAGGAGGCATCTAAGCCAGATTGTGTGGCCTCGGTATGTGCTGTATAAAACCTGAAGCCCCCATAAAAAATGGAAATGATTTCAACTTTAAAAGAGAACTCACTCTAAAATAATTATTCTATTTTGAAACCTAGGCTCTGAAGACTAATTATCCATCCAAATTTGAAGATCCTATAATAGTTCCTCTTCAAGAATTTGCATGGGATCAATATCTACAGGAGAAAAAAAGGGTAAAGGATACCTGGGGTATGGGGAATGAGCAAAGTTTTGCCTCAATCACTCAACTATGCATTGTTTTGGAAAAACAGAAGTACTGATTTTAGAGCAACTAGATTTAATTTCTCTAAATTATATACTTTTCCTAAATCATTTCAATCATTTTACCAGGCTCATTTTAAGAAAAAGTAAAACATTTACAGGATTTTCTTTTGGAAGCCATGGGATAAAGGTTAAGTTTCAGACTCTCAGTGCTGCTAGTTACCCCTGCCAATGGTTAGCCCGCTCTCCCTGCACACTGCTTACTCACACTTCCTGTGACACCCGGGCACTTGTGGTCTTTACTCTGGAAGGTCTTGGTGGTCTACAGCACAGACATAGTGGGGGGCTTGTGGCCTTCGGAGCTCTGTGACAGGCACCAAATTCCCATACGACTACCTTGTCCTAATTAAGCTTCCTCTCTGCCTTCTCCCCACTAACAGCACCCTTGGAAAACCCCAGGCCCCAGGGCTAGCAGAGCCTGCCTAGGGACAGCAGATACATTTCCTCTTGGGTGCCAACCCTGACCATTTGGTAATGCTGCTTAGAACACGTGACACGAAGAATTCTAAGGTGGTATCCTGGCCCAGCCATACCTCATTCTGGGGTGAGGTGGGAATGGGGTACACTTCCTGCTTGCCATCCCTGGCCCAGAACTGTAAAGTCCCAGTCCTGGTTTCCCTGCCCCACCCCATCTCCCCAGTGGCTGATGAAATCCCATGTCCCCTGACCAGCGCTGGTTGCACGAGGATGTCCTGTGACCCTGTGGTCATCCTACAGATAATGCTGCTGTACAGTACCATGCCACTGTGCCGTCACATGAGTGCTGCAGGACGGAGTGCACAATACATTTGTTAAGTCTCATACCATTTTCAGAGCCATAATACATTCTCATTGAATTCAGATAGAATAGTAGCAAACACCTACATATGGCGCTTATTTTAGGCCACACACTATTCTTTGACCTAGGTATAGATTAACTCCAATCCTTACAACTGGGATGTCCAGGGGTCCTGCTTTGCCTGGTTCTGAGGGCTTTCCTGGGAGCCAGAATTTCAATGCTAAAGCTGGGGCAGTCCTAGACAAACTGGGACTGCTGGTCAGGACAGTTGGTTACCTTAACAAAAATATGTTTTTCTTAATTTTTATCACCAAACTACTATAACTGCCTACGAGTCTCATGCTTTCCACCTACAGGAGAGCCATGATCTCGAGCTCTGTGGTCTGTACCCACTCCTCTTACAGATCCCACTGGATTCTTAGACCAGTGTGGATTCTCTTCTGCAGTTTCCTGTCATCTCAGCCTGGGTTACTGACCTTGGGATGTTTTGTGTTCTCTTCCTTCTGCTCTTCCCTCAGGGCCCAAATGAGGCTTTCTAGGTAATCACCGCTGCTTCTCTCCACCTTTTCTTTATTCCCTATCCTTCCTTTCTTCCTTTTCCCACCCTCATCTCTTGGACACCTGTCACTTTATCCTTTTCTTGTTTCAGGCCAGGTTTTGTCCTTCCTCAATGTAAGCAATGTGCACTGTGTCATATGTGGTGTTTCTTAGCACATCTGAGGTTAGGTCTGGGCTGGCCTTATGTTTTAGCAGAATGTAATGCCTTCCCTGAGTGGTGGCTTCTGGGCCTCTGGGAAGGCCTTTCTCTCCCCTCTAAAAAGGGCAGCATCTTATGTCTCAGTGCTGGAAAGCTCCAGAAACCACTGGATCCAGGCCATTATCTACAGGCATAAGAGGAGGCCTCCTGCACAGAGGACACATGAAAATGAAGCATCTACATCATCAGGCTCCGAGTAAAGCATACCTTCTACTGCATTTCTCCCACCAGGTTAAATAAATATCCATGTTAGCCAGAGCTGGGATAAATAAAGGTCCCTTTTTAAAGTTAAGTATTCTATAAAATGTGATAACACTGATAAATCTAAACAGTTTAGGGGCTATTGACCCGCACGCTTTATCAGTAATTTATAGTTCAGCATGAAGTTGTTTATTCTTTTCCTCGAACCAGTTTTTGATATGGGTGTCAGGATGGGATATGAAATCTGGGAGAAGAGCTGGGAGTGCAGCAAATTGGCAAGATGGAGGTAAACTGTTCCCCAAATCAGCAGTTCCCCAAGTGTGGTCTCCAGCCCTGCAACATCAGCATCTCCAGGGATGTTGTCAGACATGCAAATTCTCAGGCCCCATTCTAGAATCAGAAACTCGGGTGGGGCTCAGGAATCTGTAATTCTGCTTGCCTGCTAAAATTTGAGAACAGCTGTCCCAAATTATTCATACTTTTGCCAGGACTGGGACTGGGTCATAATAAACCAGATCTTCTGAGGGGGCATTACTCAGGGTCACACACTAGGGATGTAGGAGGTTGACCATTAGTGTTTGGATAAACACACCAATGTACTTCATTTTAAGGGCTTAGACTTAAAAGTGTTGACAAAGGTGAGCTCTCTCCCTCCTTACACTGGAGTGCACCAGAAGTCCCTGCTGGCCCCCAGGAGGCATTTCCTTTCCCTGAACCCACTCCAGGAGAAAATCATTCTTTCTATCCTTGGCACTGCAAACCAGGCATTACTCAGAACCCTTAGCCTTTCCAAGTATACACACAGTAAAATGTACTCAGAAACGAAGCCAGAGACTACATTTTGTTTCCAAGTTGACATAACACGTATGCTATGCACAAAAATTTTTATTACCAGATCACTGTCTACTTTTAATGACTGTACCATTTTTAGTATTACTTTTAGGTCCTTCTTTGCTTTCAGTGATGTCGGATTCTTAAAAATGTTCTTAAATTCTATTTGAGAGCGAAATTCTAAAAGATGGCAAAAAAAAATCCATTTTTTAAAAAGATTCAGTTAGAATCTATCCCAAGCTCTGGCTTGTGCTTATAGCAAGATAGGGTTCCCCCACAACCACGACCACAATACACTTTTTTTTTTTTTAATCCTTTTCCTTTATAGGAACTCAAGAATGAAATCTGGGAATATTCTTCCTATGTGATGTGTTTTGTTAACGATCAGCTCCTGGGTGATGCATTTGATCTTCAGAAATGGGCTCAGAAGATGTGGGATATAGTTGATTTTAAGCCCCCTGAACTTTATGAGGCACTTACTGTGGATTATGCTGCTAAATTCTTAACAGACACCAAGGTAAGTTACACTAATTTTTAAAGAAAAATAGTGGAATCTTTCATCATTTTATATTGATTCAGCATAAATTACTGATATCCTCACAAAGGAATATAAACGGTAGAATGCTAGGTTTTAAGTTCTCAACGGTCTATAATCCAGTTGCAAAGGATTATATATAATATTGCAGGATTTGACTGAACAGTGTGCAAAGCAAGCATACCTCACAGCAGGCAGACTGCATGGGGAGAGCATCCCTCTTCAAACATTTCTACTCCCCATTAGAGATTTATATGCATTAATTAGCTATTTTAAAACATAAAGAGCCTCCCTGTGCTTCAGAGAAGTTCAAGTGAATCATTCATTCCCCTTTAGTATGAAAAATTTTAATTAGTACTTTCTAACACCTAAGTGAGAGGTACTGCACTAAGCAAATAGAAAGTTTGAGAAGAAAGGTGACGTTTTAAATATTTTATTTGAGGGAGAGAAAAAGAGAACAAGTAGGGGGTGAGATGGGATAGAGGCAAAGGGAGAAGCAATTCCCCACTAAGCAGGGAGCCCGACGTGGGGCTCGATCCCAGGACCCCAGGGTCATGACCTGACCTAAAGGCAGACACTTAACTGACTGAGCCACCTAGTCGCCCTGAAAGATGACATTTTAAATTATGACACATAGTTGGCAAGAGCAGGACTAGACAAGCTAAGGCCCTGGAGAGGTTTCCAATGGACAGTCATGAAGCTTGAGGTCCAGGAGGGTGAGAGACAGATATCAGGGTGGAATGGCAATAGAGGTAAAAGTACTTTGTAATTCTGCTCAGAAGCTTGTTACAATATGAAGAACCACGTGCTGAAAATCATTTCATTCTTATAGTGGCCTATGCCCACAGACCCAGTGCTAGGATTTGAGCCATAAAAAGGCAAAGACCTTTGTTTCCTTCATCTTCATTTAACTGTTAATTGCCTTAAGCACAATCTGAAACATAGTATGAACTCGGTAAATGTCTGATGAATAAACAATGTGCTTGGAAAATACTAAAAACTCTGTGGTAAGGGGAGGAATGTAATATTCACAGCAGTTAATTCCTACAAGGACAAGGGTCTAAAAGTGCACAGTGTATTCAGGGAAGGGTAGGGGACAGCAAGGAGGCCAGAATAATAGGAAATGAGGCTGGGAAAATGAGCATATCAGTCACCACCAATACCAAGCTACTTAAGGAGAAAAGGTATGCATTGAAAGGATATTGATAACCTCACAACTGACAGGAAAGCTGGAGAACCAGGGTTTGGAAAGCAGGTAGGAACCAAGGGAGGCAGCAGGAAAACGTAGCCAGAGTCACGTTCCAAAAGTGTGCAGCTGGGATGCTGCCATGGGTGCCTGCTGGCCCTGTGTTCACATTGCCACCTTCACTGAGAAGTACTTCTCAACTAGTGTCTTTGCATCATTCCCTGGAGATCCAACGCCCCAGGCAGGAGTACCAGAGTAATCCAACCCAAGTCGTATCCCCAGACACCCTGGCTCTCACAGAGTTGGAGGGGAGGGAGAACAGTGTCTTTAGTGACTTGAAAGGGTGGGGGTCCCAGAGGGAGTTCTCCAAATAGGAAACATCCCCAGATGTTAAGGAGGGGGAGGAAAAAAAAACCCAAACAGATCCACTAAAGAAAGGTTGAACTTAGTCCATTCTGAACTCCATTCGAAACTAAGAAGTTAGCTTTTTTCCTAGAAGGGAGCTGAGCCAACAGAACTTTTCATAAAGAGTATGACTTAATCTTTGCTTTTTTGGAAAAAGTTTTAGGGCTGTGCAAAAACAGGGTGGAGTAGGGAGAGCTTGGTGGCAGGGTGATCACTTGGAACACTGCTAGAGTAGTGTGGCTCAGAGATGATGACAGCCTGCATTTATGGCAGTAAGGAGGAAGGACCCGGATTCCAGAGAAAATCTTTAAATTTTTTCGTGCAAAGGCTAGATTTTTCTTGCTGCAGGGACTTGTTTACTTCTGGGTTGCAATGATATACCAGATAATTATGTTTGCATGCTTGGCTGCTAGGTGACATTACCTGGTGTTGTGCTTATTTACTCTTTCATTAAAATTGTCAGAATCATCTACTCTTGACAACTGCATAAAGATAATATATTAACACAGAGGGAAGTTTAATGATGCCTGAATGGACTTACCCATTTCGTAAATGAATCATGAATTCTAGTGTATCATCTTTTTCTGCCCAAGCCTGTGACGTTTACTATGTTATGCCTCTTAGAATAAAGTTATAATATTCTCTTATAATTTAGAACTTGTAGTACAGAAGCTGAGAGGCACAAAAAAGTTAATCATAATTACTATGGACATAATACTACATTCCTGGGTGCCAGATAACACAATATTATTACAGTCTCTTAATTTTAAAAAAAGGTGTAAGTGACATAAAGTAGTGACAGTGATACCATAAAAGTGATTTTATTTATATTTCCTAGGTTCTTAAGAAATAGGGCAAGGCAAGTTATGCAGCCTGTTAAATCAGGTGCCATCTTTCTGTATGAGCATGGTGTCCAAGAATTGAAATGTACCCAATTTAGATGTGCTCTGCTCCCTAAATGAACGCTACCATGACGGAGACCGTGTTTTCATTCTGGATGCCTCTTTGTAAAACTAGACGAGATCACACAAACGTTAGCTGTCTCTATCAGAAAGGATGCCAGATGAAAACGAGAGCTGGGAGCATCTGGGAGCATGAGATCATGACTGAAGTAATACGAAAGCACAGCATATTCTCTTCCCTTCCCCTGGTCCCATACCTCCTATGGATATGATGTCCTTGTTTTCCCACCCGGAAAGGACGTGGCCTGGCTCTGGGTAGCTCCTTGGTGCTCTCTCTCAAACTCTAGCACACATGTAACCAAACCCATGACACTCGTGCTGGATGTTTCCCAAAATTACTCAAAACAGAAAATTCCCAAAGGGACCCACTAGTGTTTCTTCCACATCTAGCTTGCAGTGTAGAGGATAACCAGGCCATGTGTTCTCAGTCTGGCGTGCAGGTAAAGGTTATTCAAAGCTTCACTACTAAAGGGTTTTAAAGAGCATGTTATTTAAATAGGTTGGAAAGACTTGATATAATAAAATGAAACAAACTTCTTTAAGTCATTCCTTTAACTTTGCTGTTACATTATCCACTGTTGATGCTTTTGAATTTTTTTTTTTTGGTCAGAGAGCGAGCATGCGCACAAGCAGGGGTAGTAGCAGACAGAAGGATAAGCAGGTTCCCCACTGAGCAGGGAGCCCAATGCAGGTCTTGATCCCAGGACCCTGGGATCATGACCTGAGCTGAAGGCAGAGCTTAACTGATTGAGCCACCGAGGTGTCCCTGCTTTTGAAATCTTATCACCAAAAACATTATCCTGTGGTATTTTAGGTCATTTCTAAGACTTTCTTCTAAGATACTGACCTGCATTCTCTTTTTCTCACTAATTTTAATAGCATGCTTTTGTGTTCTTGGACATTTCTATTGATTTTTATCCAATTGGAAGACTGGTTTTTGAGGTAAGAGGCTTTTTGTTGTTCTTATTTTTGCTATTTTTTAATAAGTGGGAGGTGGAGATAAGAATCTGTAACTGTCAAAATACTAAATATTTAATCTTTGAAACCTTTTATTTTTATTTGTAGCTCTACTGTGATGCATGTCCCAAAACATGTAGAAACTTTCAAGTCTTGTGCACAGGAAAAGCAAAGTATTCTCAAAGTGGAATCAGGCTACATTACGTAGGTTCAATTTTTCATCGAGTAGTACCGAACGGTTGGATACAAGGAGGAGGTAAGCTGAAAATCTTAAATGCAACTTAATTATAACATCAAATCAGAATGTCCAGAATTTTGTTTATCTACCTTTGTGAAGTACGTATAGAATTACATATATTTATATTAGATATTACATATATTGAAAGGATATTTTATATGCCCGAAATGATTAAGATATTCATACTTTTTAAAAATGTCCTAAATTTGGGGCACCTGGGTGGCTCAGCAGGTTAAACCCTCTGCCTTCAGCTCAGGTCATGATCCCAGGGTCCTGGTATCGAGCCCCGCA